CTTTTTTTTTTTTTTTTTGGTTTTCTCTATTTTTCTTTTTTGTTGAAAAATCCCAAAAGGCGGGGAAAGACAAAGGGGGGTAGATTTTTACTACTGTAAATAGAGTAATTTTATCCAAATCTTGGTTTTTCAACAGTTTGCCCTCTGGGCATCCGTACATAATGAATGCTGCGCTAGAGACGTAGGGCTTACTATGTACAAGATCACCACCCCCAGTCACCCCTTGGAGTAAATGCCTGCAAGCAGCTGCGAGCGCCCCCTGATTGCATCGGGAACGGAAACTCTAAAATCTCCGCGCATCTCCATCTCGCAGCGAGGGATATTAATGACAGTAGACTGCGAGTATTGTGCCGTGCACTCAAACTATCCTTCTAGCATCAATCAGCAATTCGAATCATTGATCGAAGCCGGAATTTGAGTGTCGCGGCAGAACCAAGCTAGCAGAATACCAAGTCCGCCTGTGTTGTGAGTACCCAAATCAACATAATGCGGATCGACACCTACGCCCGTGGAATCACCCACCTTTCGCGATTGATCGTGTTTGGGGACAGCTTCAGCGACAATGGCAATGGCTCTTGGGTAGCGAGCAATGGGACGTGGCCCGCTGACCCAGCATATTACGGGCACTCTTTCTCGTATGTATAAACAGCTCGACGACACATGTTAGCATTTTCTGACTTATAAATAAGAAATGGCCCAAAATGGAACGACATAGTTGCTGGAGATCTCGGTCTTGAGCTCACCAACCTTGCAGCCGGCGGTGCGACCGCTGACAATTCTTTTGTCGCGGGCGGCACGGGAGCTTCTTCCACGATTCCCGTCCCATCTACCAAGGATCAAGTCGACTCATTCCTTTCGTGGGATGCACCCAGGCCAGGCGATGTTTTTGTGCATTGGATCGGCGCCAATGATATTCTCTTTAATACTACCATTACTGGTGCACAAATCTCCAGCATCGTCAGTGAAGACATTGACCGACTGTACCGTGCCGGTAAGTGTGAGCCTGCTAGTATACAAAAGAGGACAATGCGTTCTGACATGAATCTAGGCGCCAGGAACTTCATATTGGCAAACTACAATGAGATTACCACGTTTCCAGCCACATACAACTCTTCAGACTACAATATTCCCAGTGTACAAGCCTACGACGACGACCTCAGTACTGGGCTAATCGACATTGCAGCTGCATACTCTGCTGATGCAAAAACTGGTTTCGTCGATGTACGGCAGCTTTTCCGCAATATCACAGCCCAGCCATCCGCATACGGCATAGATGCGGCATACGTTGATCCTCCGACCGCTTGCTTGGTGGGCGTTTATACCAGCGAAGGCGTTCCGCGTCATTTATGCAGCGATCCAGAGCGACATGTATTTTTCGACTCGTATCACCCTGTCACGCAGGTGCATGCATTGATTGCGAAGATGTTTGAAGAAGTGATACAGGGCTTTGCTTAGTTTCAAGTCAACTTTATAGATTAACTCACCAGATTCAATATAGAATCGAGCCATTAAAATTTACCGATGATTTGCGATTGAATATGCGGATGGTTGCCGTTAATCATTTGGTCATCTTGAAAAGCAATGGCAAAAGAGCAAAACGATTCATATTTAGACTTGCAAAACAAATAACTCCTAGTCTAAATTCATAAAAACCAAGGCTGCGACCAGACAGGCCATGATGATGGTCGTCACAAATCCGGCACCGACCTTGTCTGCCGTTGTGATATCTCTGAGGTACTGATATTTAGTCGAGGCACTCGTGCCACCGTCAACGTTACTTGACGACGATCCACCCGTTGTCGTTGTGTATGGCGTGATGGCGTCATCAACCAGCATGGCATATATGACGGACATGGCATTCATCTGCTCTCCCACACCAGTACTGTCCTCATATGTCGAATCGTCGTACCAACTAAAGGTACACTAGATAATATCGTGTTAATATCATTTCATGATAGGCACTCCTTTGGATATGCTGAGTTTAGGGCATGACTTACGGCTGTTCCTGCGTGGCCTTTGAATCCCGAAGTGTGACTCACGCAATGCTCTGCTGCAGCAACCGCCGTCGTCTGCAGCAGCGGCATAATGGTATCGTAGACAGTCGGAGCGAGCTTGGCCGCTCCAGCCATCCATCGCGACAGGAAGCCCTTGAACATGCGCTGATCATTGTTACAGGACGTGGCCGTCGCCTCGCACGGCAGCTCCCACATGATGCCGTCGGTAAAGAAGGTGGTTGCAATACTGTTGGTCAACGACTCGACCCGGGTTTTCCACGTGTCCGTCTCGGTCAGGTTGTACATGTAGGCTGCTCCGTGCAAAAAGATGCCCGCATTGTACGAGAACAGGGCTCCGTTGATTTCAGTACAGTTGGCCTCTCCTGCATTGCCAGCACCATCGCGGACCTCCCAGGTATCTGAGATAAATCCAACGTTGAGCTCCCAGTCGAAAATCTTGTCGGCCCATTCCCTGTACGTGTCGTTGCCAGTGTAGCGTGCCAGCCGCGAGGCAATATTGAAGAAACATCCGTTGGAGATGGAGTTTTTGTAATTGTATCCATTGTTGAAAGTGAAAATTTGCCACCTTAGGCCTCCACCGCAAGTATCGGTGGCTTCGTTCCATCGTTCAACGTACTCGTTGAACACGGCCTGGGTCAAACCCAGCCAACCAGGCTCGTCGTCTGGCGGGTTAGTAAAGTTGAGTTCGGCTGCCGACATGGCAGTCAATGCCCAGAAGCCTTGGTCGTCGTTTCCTAGCGATCTGGTCTGGTTGTCTGGCATGTAGTCGTAGTCATCTCCTCTTTGATGCCACATGGCTTGGTATGTGATGTTATTATAGGAATCATCTCCAGTATATGACCAGTAGTCCAGTAATGAACCAAACATGGCACCGCATTGCCACCAATAGTATGGATCAGGAAGATTGCCTGGCACATCTCCAGTGTTGTTTCCTTCCTTGTGTCAGTCGAGACGTCTTTAATGAGCGAGAAGACCTGCAAATACCTGTGTAATATTTTACTAGACCCCAAGCAATCGTAGCGGCAGCTTCTTTGACAGAGTCTGGTATGATATTAGCTCAAGCAAACCATTAGACGAATGGCGTCGAGCTCACCTGGCTGGGTAATGTCCAAGTCGACGGCCGAGACTTGATACGCCAGGGTCTGGAGCAGACCAAATACTAAAGTATATCTCATTGTAACGGCTACCTGCACATAATCTTGGCAAGTGTCCCTGGTGACTGGTGGTATAATCGATAGCCTTGGCCTGGCTAGGGAAAGATGCAACTCGCTTGAACAGGAGTATTCGAAGCAGAAACCTATTCACGAACGCTTTTAAAGCACTGAGAGGGATTGAGGCAACAAAACGAAAGACCAAAAAGAGGACCCATGTTCCATTTCTAGGCCAATTACTTTTTGAATTAACAGGTTATTTAGGGAAAGCACACCAATACGATCTGCGAGGGGACGGAAAGTGGATAGGTGATTCGGAATTCATAACGAAGTGCTTGGCATTTCTTGGAAAATGTATTGCAATTTGACAAAACATCTAGAAGAAAGGGGGCAGACGCGCAGGCTCAGGGTAAGCCAAGAAAGGCCAAGAGTTTGGAATTTGGTTGACTTGTACGAGGTCAAACTCATGGCTTGGCGCAAGGCGACGTCGTCTCATCGCCTTGCAATGTCACCACCATATTTGAACTCCCTTTGCATCCGCCCAAGATCATACGAAGCTCGCATTTCCTCCCTCCTTGAGATGGATCAGACAGCTCAAGATCACGGCATGATGATCTTATAACTTGAACATATCTTCATTCCCCCAAGGGTCTTGGAAATATGCTAGCCAGGAGCTAGTTGACTTGGCGAACAAGCACAGCCCGCTCCGGAGACCAAGATGGCCTGGCGGTGGGGTCTTGCGGAGAGAAGTCAGCGTACCGCTCGCTCTGAGATCTGGGGATACGAAAAAAAAAAGTTGCCGGGCGATCCAGGCCAGCGGCTACGATAGTCTTTACTCCTTTTAAATTCTTAAGGTCTAAAATAACCTTGAATGTTTGCGGATGCGCGCAAATGTTATCACGACCTCCACCAAAAACACCTACTAGGTATTCACGGGCTGCTGTGAGCCGCACAACGAAATCATGACGTTTTGACGACAAACAAAAGACGATGGAACAAGTGTGATTTGATGACGGATTTCCTATCAATTCAGTGAATACATTTCGCGAGTTGAAAGATCTTTGCTATTTACAGCAGGCTATTGGACGACACACAAGGTCGCACAGGGACACTAGACTTGTACTACTCATTTTAAAAGGTAGAAAAGGAGTTGTTCATCGAGAGCCAGCCCAAAACAGACTTTCATATCTGTGAACAATCAACCCTTTTTTTCGTTCTCATCTGGCTTGAGATAGTTGTCGAACATTCATCCCTCACTACCACAAGAAACTGAAAAGAGCGATGTAGCAAAGAACGGCCAAGTGATGCTGCTACAAGCACTGCGTTTGATGACCAGATCAAAAAGCCCATTCCATAAATTTGGCATCTTGGGGTGTCTCACACGCGCGGACAGCCCAACCACCGATACGCCAAGTTTCGCGGGCCAGCAACGGGCTTCGACAGAGAGCATGACAGAGAATGAAGGTGATGAGGGATTCATTCCGCTGACTTGAAATACAGAAAGAGACGTTATCGCATCCAAGGTAGAGAAGCATGAGGCTGGCGACTTGAGAGGGAAGAGCAGAATACCCGATCCTTCAAGCCGTAGACTAATATGCCTCACATGCGACAGCTGGTGGAATTTAATATCATCTAAGCTCAATCGATGCGTTATCCAGGGCTGTCGCTGTTTCCTAGCACATGAAAATCATGACTCTTGTTGAGCAACGCCAGTAGCATAATTGCCTATTCTTTGTCTTCTCGTGGCGTAGTATAAAAAGGCATCCCGGCAAATTGTCTGTCCTCCTCTGACATCATCCCACGTGCCTGAAAGCACTCCATAAAGCGACGTATGAAATGTATACAACATTATAAGCTATATGTGTAGCTGGCGGAGGCCGACGGAAACTATTTCCACCGTCTGGGGTCCCCGCATTCTCTTTTTGGGGAAATATCCCTGGAGTAGTCGTCCTCTTTTTGTGTCACGCAAACCCATGCAAAGGCTGTCATTGGTGCATTTCGAATGCTACACAATAGCGCGCTGCTGTGGTTCCGGCAGATGAAGGCCTTTATACGCGCAAACCCATCGTGATGCGCTCCAATCAAATGTATTTGCTTGTATATCTCAAGACGTATCACAGCGTGCTGCGGATGATCTAATGCAGTGCGCCGGGGGTACCTTTTTCTGTACTCGGGCCGGAAAGCCCAGTAAACATGATTTCCGTCAGTCCAAGACATCGAGTATAAAGCGCAGGCAAACACCCTCAAAGCTCGAGGTTGCCTTGCGTATTTGACTCTCATAGACCTTTTCTCCACGATGCGAGCAATCTCCCTACTATCCGCAGCCCTTCTCGCTGCTTCAGTTGAAGCCACTCCGGTTTCGAGAAGGGATACAACCTATGTCGGTTACCTGGTGTCGACTTTTACCGATGCTACACCTCAGGTTCAGCAATATCTTTCAAACGGCAACAATGCCTACAGCTTTCGGTTTCTGAATGACGGAAGTCCGGTTCTTGCTTCCACGGTAGGCACGCAGGCAGTACGGGATATATTTCTTGCAACAAACACGGCAAGGTCGGATTATTACTTGTTGGCAACTGGTAGGCTTCATGTCTGATGGCATTTTAATGGCATGCATGCTAAAGTCGTATTTTCAGATCTCGACATCAATGCTTCCGGATTTTCATGGGATGCGGCAACACGCACGGGGTCTCGCGGGATCGTCGTCTGGAGCTCAAGCGATCTAGTCACCTGGTCAGCATCGAGCCTCGTCACCATCGAGGCCGATACGGCGGGCATGGTGTGGGCGCCGTCGGCCGTCTGGGACGATGCCACGTCGCAGTACTATGTCTTTTGGTCCTCGAGACACTACTCTGCCGACGACGCGGGCCACACGGGCACGGCCACGCTCGACAAGATCCGGTACGCGACAACGACGGACTTTGTGACGTTTAGCTCGCCCGCCGACTACGTGGCCCTCGACGACACTCCGCTGATTGACCAGGAATTCCAGTATCTGGGCACGTCGGGCAGCTACGCTAGGTTCTTGAAGAATGAGACGACGTTGCAGGTCTATGAAGAGACGACTACAGAGGGTCTGTTTGGAACCTGGACGCGGGTTGGCGGCTATGTGACGACGGACAGTCCGCGCGAAGGCCCTTTGAGTTTCGAGGATAACTCGACGCCTGGGCTGTACCATCTGTGGCTGGACAACTATACCGAGTACGTACCGCTCAAGACGACGAGCATCACGGATGGAGGTTATTCAGACGACAGCGTATCCGGTTTCCCAACTGGACTCAAGCATGGCAGTGTCACGCCGTTGACGCAGGATGAATATGATAGGATAGCTGCAAAATACCCATCCTAGAAGAAGAACGATTATACACGGATTGTTTGAAAAACAAAAATTGGATAACCAGTCTTGGGAGAGAGCGCCCATCTCCAGTGGCCGGGCTCAATACGTGACTATCTGCGAATCAGAATGGCATCTCATTTCAGATTGCTACTCACCATGCTTTGCTCCCACCCACATGTTCAGCAATGGAATAGGTACCGCGAAGATTAGCAAACTAGTCAATTCAGCACGTGCAGGACCTTTGTCATGCCAAGAATTTGACTTTGGTGATGAGTAACTAAACACCAAAAAAAGAGCTGGCAGGATCAGCCTTATGTAATGCGGGTTAAATCTAGAGGAGGGGATCTTCAGCCGCCGTTGGTGTTTCAGATCTTTAGCGCTGCAGATATACTCACTTTTATTAGCAACATGTCAGGATTGATCACCACTACGGCCTATACCTTGATACCCCACAGCGATACTAATGTAGGGAGGTGCACAGTAGATCGATCGGTGAGCAGTGTACGGTATTTGCAGTAGTAGGGGAGCAACTAAGTGTGCCGCACACATGCATGGCTGGCTGGCTCTATATCGAGATGTGTGTGTTTGGGGGTGGATTGGCTTGTGCCTGTCTAGGAAGAGCGCCCCAGGTGCACTTCTGAGCTGATGTGACCAATCTTGGAAGGTTGAATCTTCAAGCCACTGCAAGTGAAACTTTACTCTTTTATTCTCGAGTCGAAACGAGCCAATACGCAAGCTCAATGGTGAAGAGGGGCCCAAAATCCGAAGGTATGCATTGGAATGGCGGCGATTGTGTTTTGGCAGCCGAGTAAGCTGACCAGCTTACAAGAGTACAGCCAGGATTCAGGAATAGTTACGGCGTCTTGGCGCAGCAAGAGCGGGCCACGATCGCATGGGAAACGGCCGTCTCTTAGTGCTCCTAAGATTGGGGCCGGCAGCTCCCCAAAACCTTGAGATTTCAACACCATCGGGAGGCGACACAAAGTATCACGATTCAGCGCAAAGAAAGAATTGTCAAACTTGTCCCTCTTGGAGTCTTCAACCAAGTAACACGATAGGGGAAGAAAATGGTTATCTCTGATCGCTCTAGCGCTATCTTGGAGATGGTGCGTGACATGACTGACATGGGGACGTTCATCAATTGCCTGACCAGGAACCCGTCAGCTGTTTCGTTCGAGGCCCCTGAGCTTGAAAGGAAGCTAAGCTAAGCTGAGCTGAGGTGAAGTTGCGCCTGGGCGCTGATTTGGCGACTCAAGATGAGCTTCTGGAATCTGGGCCGTTGCATTATTACTATCGCTACGGTACAAAGTACTACCTTGGACCTTTTCCTTTGGTAGCTGGAAAATGATCCAGTCTATGAATTTAAAGCAGCCAATAGTGTAGGTCGCTTCAGCAAATAGGAGTAGCTGCAAAGCAACCGACTATGTACTGAAATCCAATGGTCGTTGATAACTTGCAGAGCAAATTGTCTTCTTACGTTGCCCTCTGATGGAGGGCCAAATAGAAACGTCAAATGAAATTCATTGGGCATGCGGCGGGCCAACCCCAAATATCGGCTCCGGCGCCGTCGAATGGCAAGACCCGACCGACCGTGGGCAGTGAGAAAGGTTTGTAGAATAGCAAACTTTGGACTAGGTCTTGTCCGAACAGGAGGCGGACTTTAAACTTGCGTCAAGCAAGACGCCCTCCCCCCTACCCTCCTGGGTTCATGTTTCTTCATTGGGACCGAGGTCGTGTGGTACCATTTTGGAAGATCGAAGAGGAGGAGAAAGGAAAAAGTCATGCGTGCTTCTGACTGCATATGTGTGCCCAGTGACGAGAAGGACAAAAGAACAGGGTCGACCGGGGTGGTTGTGAAGGGCAGGAGAGGGGAAAGATGCTCGGATCGGATCAGGAGATATGGGCTGGATGGGAGGAGATGGAGAACATTGACCGAACGGTGAAGATAGTACATACATACATAATAACACTACTACTTTTACTACCACCTCTACTATGTACTCCCTACCGCTACATATCTTGGAACCATCATGGGATTGGCTGCAAAGTGGCGTCACCCCCCATCTGATTCTAGACCCAAAAGTCCAACGGCTTGCAATCAATTGTATGTAGTACGTAGCTAATGTAAGGTAAAAAAAAAAAAAAAAGAGGTATGGGATGATGGGGATGGGATGGGATGCATGCACCGACAGGAAGGACTTGACAGGCCTCAGCTTCCTGCTTGTACTATCAGTGGGCGAGTCCCCGGTATTTCTCATCCACGTCCCTCGTAATAAAATAATAAATCAAGGACATGACCTGCCTTGCAGCTTTTCTCTAGCCAGACGGCCCAGAAAACCTTCTTTGGTTAATTTTGTTAATTCTTCTCTTGTTTTTCCCTCTCAATTCCATTTTGAACTCGAACGAACGCAAACAGACGAGGGCAACTGACTGGCAACTTGTCACTGTCGTTCCTCCTGTTGCTACCACTTACAGTGCATATTCACATTGTACATTGTTGAAGTCGCTGGCTTCGATTCTCACACCACGCGGTCTCACTCCCTGTCGCCAGGGACGCACCTGCTTACTTACTGACGTTGATCCCCACCGTTCGGTAACCGGCTGTTGCCAGGTTTTTTTTTTTCTTTTTTGGCGTCGGCATATTTTGGTTTTTCTTTGATTGCCTTGACAGCGCTCAGTCTGACGGGACGAGGAGGGAGGAAAAGAAAATAGAAAATCGGCAGAGTGCGGGAACAAGTCTGAGATCGGCATCCGGGGGACCTTTTTTGAGGCTCAGCTCACTGGCTGTTCTTGAGCGCACTCACTCAGCAGCAGGCATTCTGATCTCTCACGCGCGCGTGGAAGCGCATCCTTCCATTTCGCCTGGCCCCGTGGACAGACTGACCATAAGTGCCTGCGGGTTACCGTCACCAAGCATTACGATTCGACTACTACTTTTGATTTCTCTGCATCAGGAATCAGCCCAACTTATTGGAATTCGACTTTGAACAGACCATTTTCAAACGCACCTCCCTAATACCACAAACAAGCAAGAAACGGATACAAACCCAGAGGCGTCTTCGTTGGCTGGCTGACCGCACTGTCTGTCGCAAAAACTTTGTCGACACCATACAAATCATAACAATCAATCCCAGCCCACAGTCCAGAGCCCAGCCCAGCCCAGCCATAGGTAACAGGCCGTTTTCATTAGAGTCGCCCGTTCCCACCGGGGCACCCTTTAGCAGTTCGACTCGTCCGCCAATACCCGGGACACCCCCGTCTCCACCACCACTACCACCAAGGGCTACCAGCATAAGCTCATCAAATGTTTACGCAACCGGCGCCCCCGTCAACCACAGGCCTCTTGTCGCCAACCACCGACGCCGCCTCATCGTCACCCTCTGCAGTCAGTTCTAGGGGCAGCAGATTGAGAGGTTTGAGTTATCTGCGCAGTTATACGCAGACGCATCTATTGTCGCGCGATAGTGGTATCAGCACCCAGCCTAGTGCGTCGGCCGCCTCTGGAAGTCCTAGTTCCAGTACGAGTGCCAGTGCCACTCAGCACACGCCACTCACGCGAGCTACCCACTCTGCTCTTAGTGTTACCAGTGGACGACGACGTGCACGCCAGTCCGGTGATCCACCCAGGTACGCTCAAGAATTATCCATTCTCCCCCAAAAACAGGCGAGGCAGCCTTCTAACTTTCCACATCAGTACTTCCAAAGACCGAAATCGCAAAACCACGTCAGCACAGAACGCGCAGCCTGGTCGCGACTCCAGCCAGGATTCACAGCCTGAACCAAATTCAGATTCAGACTCTGGCCGCGGCAAGAAGCACAAGACCGGTACCGAGGAGGATCGTCAGGGCGCCACCGCTGAAAGTCAGGACAACCAGGCTCAATCGTCGAGTGCTGCTGCTGCTGCAGACATGGCGCGGGCACGATCGGCCACCACAGGCGACTTGTCCACAGAAGTACTACCCTCCATCCGCTTCTCAGCCCACTACGATCCCAGGTCGACGCGGCAGTCGCTCTCCTTTACTCCCATCTCGCGGACATTACCAACAGGAAAGGAAAGCATCAAAGTCGGCCGCTACTCCGAGAGAGAGCAACAGCAAATAGTGCCTGCCAACATACCTTCGGCAGCTCCCGTCGGATTCAAGAGCAAGGTCGTCAGTCGGCGGCATTGCGAATTCTGGCACGAGGATGGCAAGTGGTATATCAAAGATGTTAAGAGTTCATCCGGAACGTTTCTAAACCATGTCCGACTATCACCGCCGGGCAACGAGTCCAAACCGTTCCCCGTTAATGATGGAGATATTGTGCAGCTTGGTATTGATTTTAGGGGAGGAGAGGAGATGATCTTTCGGTGTGTCAAGATGAGGATTGAGCTGAACAGAGGCTGGCAAAGTAAACCCAACAATTTCAAGTAAGGCCTCAGCCCACCAGTCCCGTCAAGCAGCAAGGACTAATTTATGACAGCATGGCTACACACAAGCGCCTCAGAAACTTGACCTCAACCACGGACACTAACGCCGGCAGTGGCCACGCACAAGACTGCTCCATCTGTTTGAATGCTATTGCTGTAAGTTTTCATCTTTTCCACTTATCGAACCATGTCCGATACCGGTCACTCTACTAACAACGCTCAGCCATGTCAATCTCTCTTTGTAGCACCCTGCAGTCATACGTGGCACTACAAATGTATCCGGGAACTACTCATAGGCCCCTCTCATCCAATTTTCACATGTCCCAACTGCAGGGCCGCTGCTGACCTGGACGCTGATGTGGAGGAACCCGACGAGGAATGGCAGCAGCTGGACTCTGGCGGCGAAGATGTTAACATGGATGCAAGAGACACACCGGAGGCTCCTGTGGATGCCCCTGCAGATCGGTCTACTGATGCCGCCCAGATCAACACTGTTGACGGTGCTACCGAAGAGCTAGCTTCGCAAGCCCCTTCAGCAGTGGAAGAGAACGGAGACGTCACCATGATGCTGGACAACCTACCTGCATCAGCAGACCATGCTCCGACAGCATCGGAAACCTCGACCCCAATACCCATTCCGCGACCCAGTCCCATGGCAGTTACTAGTTCCAACGGTCTACCCGACGCAAGACGGACGCCATCACCGCCAAATGCTGGGGCTACTGTTCATGATGGTCCACTGACGCCGCGTAATGACGCTGGGCCGTGGGTATTTGACGGAGATGCGGGACGGTCCTCTCAGGACGTATCAAGACCAGGCGCAATGGTTAATTTGGATGCAGCCGCAACAAGAGTACAATCGAACGCGATTTAGGACCCAATCTTCGAGGAGTCCGGATTTGGAACAACAGCATTTTATTCTCTATGGCCATGACAATCCTGGCCATTGGAGATGTCTGAGGACAGAAGTAGGACGATCGCAAGCCTTGTTAATATCACCAGAGAATACCAAAAGAGGCGTTTAGGGTTTGTTTGTTTTTTCCCCTGAAAAGGGATGGGGGAACAGGGGATGTCCGAAGCGCCTGTCAACCAACATTTGATTTTTCCATTCACCAGGATTTCTCTCATTGCATGCATTAGCGACCATATATCAATTAGCATGACTTAATAAGCATCTCTACCTCTGATAAGGGGGGGAAACGGATCACTCGAACTAGAGCACTGGCAGCAAGTGAGTCTTGAATATATAGACGCAGAAATTCGTTGTCTGGCCAATTGCCAAAACAAAAACGTTGCAGACCACGAATAAAATACATAATTCGTGATATTCATGCTTGATCCGGCAGCAAGATGCATATATATTTACAAGGCAGATATGCACATTGCATCGCATGACGTTGCCAAGATTGGTTGGGAACGAGCAAGGAAAAATAGCATAACTTATAACGTCCAGCATATGCGCACCAAGAACCACCCAGCTTCCCCAATCCAATGCAATACACCCACATTTGGGGAGCGGCGGCATCGATCACTTGCACCTACGTACTCCCTTGAGGTACATATTGCCAAACGGCCCCGAGTTCCCCAGTTGGGGAATCAGGCGCACACGTGGGTTATGTACTTGAGATCACCTGAAGGTACTGCTAGTCAGCTACAGAGGGGTTCCAAGTACCCAGGTAATGTAGCTAATGTAGTGCAAAATAGATGACATATTTCATCGGATATTGTATGACTACTGGCATCTGCTTGACAACATATGAATATGTCACACCATCCGTGGGACAGCATTTGCCAATAAATATAACGCCATTCGTGGTTACTGGCCGAGGGACTCTGAGGACCCCATGCAAAGCCGAATCTGAGCAATGCGGCAGACCCAGATGCCTGGAAATTAATGGCCCGGGTGGGACCCCCACTGCTCTCAAGAGACAGCGAAGTCGGACTTACCTTAATGTATCCACAAGCCCTCGCACCTCCACTCCAGTGGGCGACAGCCTGTCAGGTACACCCAAGTAATACCTGTCTTTGGGTCAGCTTACACGCAAACCTTGGAGAGACACTAGAGTAAGCAATTGTCTGTACCAAGGGAATGGGATTTCAGTAAACTTTGGCCATCCCACTGGACATTTCTGCAGCGTAGCCTAATCTTAAAAAATTATTAAATTAATGTTTCTTTTCTGTCCTTGTTCTCTCTTGGCAGTTATCCATTACACATCACTTCTTGGGAAACCTACGAACAATCTCAAGCCAGCAGTCACCGGAGTATCTTACAACGGTGCCAAGACCTGACATTGCGCCAAAGAAACGATTGCTAGATCGGAGCTCCCACGCGCGAAACCAGTTCCGAAGCTACCCTTGCCCGGCCGACCCTGACCTCACCGAAGCTTTGTGCCAACCCATCGAAGGAAAATAATTATTCAGCCGTAACGAATTGCTTCACATCATTGCCGCACATTTTTCCCAACGAGCGCGTTCTGAGCGTCACTGCGCTCGTAGAAAGCGGAAAAGATGTCGACCACCACGGGGTAAGCAAGCGTCTGTCCACGGCCGCTGTAGCCCTTTGCCGCGGCCTGGAACGTAGAGAAAGAGAGCAAGAAAGCGCTGACACACTTCCCGCTCGCAGTGCCTTCATCGCCGGTGGCATCGCAGCATGCGGTGCAGTCACAGCTACCCATCCGTTCGAGACGGTCAAGATCAGGTATGCGATCCCATTGCGAGTTTTTCAATGGCAGCGGCAAGAGTCCGCGCAGATGCGACACTCTTCCAGCTTGGTGATTAGGCTGGCGACCGCGTATCGGCGTGAATGGGTCATACTTTGCGCCGAGCAAGGTCGGAGTGAGATGGGGCAGAATGGCTGATTGTATACGCTCGACAGAATGCAGTTGCAAGGCGAGCTTCAGTCCAAGGGCCACCAACCACACCACTACCGGGGACCCTTTCAGGCTGTCACCATGATTGTGCGCAATGAGGGTCTTCGGGGCATCTACCGCGGCATTGGCTGTGCCTACGCCTACCAGATCCTTCTCAATGGCTGCCGTCTCGGCTTTTACGAGCCCATGCGGCAAACCCTCGCCTCCGTCATCCTCAAGGACTCCACGAAACAGAACCTCGGCATCAACATGTTTTGCGGTGCCACATCGGGCATCATTGGTGCAGCCGCCGGCAGTCCCTTCTTCTTGGTCAAGACGAGACTGCAGAGCTATAGCAAGCACATTGCCGTGGGCACGCAACACAAGTACAAAAACGCCCTCGACGGTCTGCGACAGATCTCGAGCACCGAGGGCGTCCGGGGCTTATACCGTGGCATAACGGCCGCCATGATCCGGACGGGCTTTGGCAGCAGTGTCCAGCTCCCGACCTACTTTTTCGCCAAGAGGAGACTGCAGAGGCATTTGGGCATGGAGGAGGGCGCACCTCTTCACTTGACGAGTTCGGCCGTGTCTGGCTTTGTGGTTTGTTGTGTCATGCACCCGCCTGGTGAGTATCTAGTATACAGGCATCTCCGCCAAGTGCCTACATGGCAAGGCAAAGCTAACACGAGGGAATCTAGACACTGTCATGTCGCGCATGTATAACCAAAACGGAAACCTGTACACCAACATGTTTGACTGCCTGGCCAAGACGATCAAGACCGAGGGCTTGTTCGCCATTTACAAGGGCTTCTTGCCGCACCTTGCCAGGATATTACCTCACACCATTCTCACCCTCAGTTTGGCGGAGCAGACCAACAAGCTGGTGAGGAAGCTGGAGAACAAATTCTTGCCTGAATCTGTGTTAGAAAAGGCTTAGATGGCAGATATCCACATAATCTAAATCAGAAATTCTTGTTTACCAAAGCATCTGCGATTTGGCGTAGGCAGGGATATTGTATATAACGCTGGGATGGAAAACAAACTTGGTGCTATCACTTTTATCTTTCAGGGGTATAGAAGATGGGCGAACCAGTATGCTTTGTCATAGATCTTGGAGAGCATTTGCAGATAGCGATTCATTCACAGAAAAAAGAAAATGAAAGATGTAGCCAAAAAGAGCTTCAACTCTTCGTACGGGAGTAGACTGTAGGGATCATCCATAGACGGACCTCTCGCATCCATAACACAACCGCCCCCTGCCATCGCTCTCGTTTTTCTGCTCTCCCAGCTCTCCTCTCCACCGCTCATCACCAACCTCGTCGAGCCCCAGGCCGCAGAGTCCGCAGCTTCCATTCTCGACATTCCCGGCACGGTTCAACTTGCCCGTGGTCCGCACCACGTTGGCGACGACACTCGGGTAATTCTCCTCGACCTCGGCAAAGTACCGCGCCATGACGTCGTCGATGCTCAGGTCCTTGTGCGATACCACGGCCGCCGACCGGTTGCCGTTCTCGATCAGCAGCGGCGTTAGTGGCGGTGATGTGAGACCGCTGTAAATGAGAAGTTCCTTGCGGAAGAGTTCACGGAGTGGATGGTAGATGAGCATTTTGACGCTGGCATCAATCTCCCCCTTGTCCTCTTCTTCCTTTGTGGCGCTATCTTCCCCTTCTGCCGTCTCAGCCCTCGGTGGCAGTCTTTTCACGCGCGGCAGGTTTACCCAACCGTCATTCACACCCCACGGCACCGCAAAGCCGCGCCCCTTGGCCGTCTCGGACAGGGTCAGCTCGGCCAACGACGTGGTATTGTAGCCCATGAGCACAACGCCGCAGGACGCCTGGACGGCGGTCTGGACGAGGAGGTGCCGGATCAGCAGGCGCACCACGTCGGCCCGCGACGTGGTCGACGGGAGGCGCGAGAGCAGGTCCGCGAGGCGCCGGGCCGGAGAGGCCAGAGACGTGTCCACGCTGGGCAGGGCCGTCCAGTCCACCGTATCGAGACCCAGCGCATCCTCGAGCGCCACGCGCCGGAACTGCGTGCCCGGGAAGCGCTCGGCATAGCGGGCAAAGAAGGCGGCTTCATCATTGGCAGCAGCAGCAGCAGCAGCAGATGTCGTCTCGTCGTCATCACCACCACCACCACCCCTCAGCTCGGTATCGACGACGGCGACGAGCAGCTCAAACCGCACCTTTTGGCCGCGCTCGCGCTGCTGTCGCTGATTCTCCCACAGGGCGCTCAGCAGGGCCGTCGAGCTCACCCCACCGGGCGACAGGGCCAGGAGGTACCGTTGGGTGCGAGGCGGGCCCGATGATCCTCCTTGCCCTCCGCTTCCGCTGCCGCTGCCGCCTGTGCGCGTATCGCGCTGTAGCTGCTCAAGGCGCTTGACGGCCTTGAGGGAGATGAAGGATTTGAAGCATGGTCTTTGCTCAACAAGGAGCTAGTCGTCAGCTGATTACATGTACAAAAATATATTGCGTTGAATATGGAAAGGAATGTAGCGGAATAGGTATGGGGGAATGGTCTCGACAAGATGTAGTATAGGGGGTAAGACCAATTAAACAGAGTAGCGGGAGAAAGGGGGGGGGAAAAAAGTAAGAATCAAAGACTCACGAGCATACGGTTTCATTGCGCATTGTGTGCAAGGCTTCATTTGTCTTGCAGCGGTTGCAAAGGGCTGCCCCCGTCTCGGCGGACGGCATGATGAAAGGGGTCGAGGCTCTTTCTTTGCCTACAGTATCGTCGCTCTCTTGTCTCTTGTGGTGATTTTACTTGATTGTTTCAAGCCCATGTAGTGGCGGCTGTGGTCTTCTTAATTCTTTGCCTTGTTCACCGTATGGTGGTTGAGGCGAAATCCTTGACTCACCTCATCATGAAGTGTGGGGATGTTAGCTTGGGCGCACTATTTCAACCTTTTTTTTTCTCCTACGGTCCAATTCTACCTGCCTACATCCCAGGCCTCATAAGCAGGAACAATACAAAATGACACCTAATTAATTCTGATATATTTTGATAATTGAAATTTGACAGCAAGACAAATCCTGCGCATCCTCCGCCGTACTATGCTCTCAAAGTAGTTTGTTCCTCGGAAAGCGACGCACGATGCGCGATACGTCTACAGTGCTTGAATGTTCATAACCTCCTTTTTCCATGTATCGAGCCAAGCAAAAGATACTTGATCGCATATACATGCGGCTCAGTGTATATTATACTACCTAGAATGAATATATAATGTTGTCTGTTGTGTGAATAAAGGGCTTGTTTTGGGCCATTGTCTTGAGTTCCGGCGGTCGCTGTCGATGTTGGCTTCGTCTCGCCACGGAATGTATAAAGTTGTCAGTATAAACTCCAGCTGGTTGGTATTCTTCCACGTTGATATAATCAAGCAGAGAGTTGCCGTCTGCTTGGTCTGATTTGAAATGAGCAAGGCATGCAGACCGCGCACGATGATTGCGTTGTCGTTGATTAGAATACAGTCTCAATGTAACAAATAGAGTAGTGGGACCACACAGCGTAGAGACAAAAGACGACCCACTAAATGCGATGGGGTATTCTAATAAGGGCGAAGACACCAGGAAACATGGTGACATCATTTGTATACACATTTATTAACTCAATTATATCAACATTCATTGTTGGTAGAAAGTTTCCACTTGATCACAGTAATGGCACTGCTAATGGTCAAGATCAGACTGGGAAAGTGAGGAACAAAACTTCTTCAGGTACAATGTAGTCTCCATGGCTGTTGTCAACTACTAGGGACATTTAGTGCTACACTACCGCGCTATACCCCCTTCATAAGCCAAACACATTGCTAGAGTTCTGGATATAGGTGACTGTTCATGAGATTACAATCACGTCTGTCTGAGTGGATGCTCCTTTTGTTAAATGGGAATATTTGACTGACATCCCGATGCCACGTGGATTTGGTTGCAATCGATGTGCAGTAAACGAACTGATTGTTTTCAACGGCACAAGATACGAAAATGCTTTTTTCTTTCTTGGTATTACGGATATCCGAGCGAGTGCTGGCCAATGGTTCGTTTCTGGCACCTCTAGCTGAGTCCCAGGGAGGTAAGCCAGCAGCCAATCATTAGAAGCGCTAGTGATGTCAGGGCCTCGACGACCGACCCCCCGGGGGGTCTCACCACTTCAAACACAACTGTTTCGTGTTTCATCCCATCATGTCCCAAAGCACCATTGGCCAGGAACAACGCAAAGAGCAACCACCAGAAAGGGCAGGGGGGGCAAAAGAATCTCAGAGCCATTTTGCTTTTGTCTTTCGACCATCTGCTCGTGGTCGCCACATAATGCCACACACAGGAGCAACAAGGATTACTGCCGGATTGATCGTTTTCGGTTGGCTGGGGACTGGTCCCCCGACTTGGCCTGACTTATACAGCCCTAGGCCACACCCACCCCAGCAACTGCACATCATTGGGAGTGATGAGGGTATATCCATGTCCAACAGGTAGGTAGGCTGGTTGGTCGGTTCGCTTTGGCGGGCTGAATGGACGGGTAAGGCAGTAAGTACATGCGCAGTTTCCCTCTCTTTTTATTACTGTTTCTCTGTGTCTCTTGCTCTTGAAGTTGTAAAATAATGTGCAAGTTGCGCCTTGGTCCTTCATCAACCCCCGGAGAAAAAAGATTTACAGTTTCCCCATCATATTTGTTCCATCCTTTCCCTCAACCTTCCTGTATTGGAGAGCCTCCCGCTTTTTCCTCTTCGCTTGATGTGGCCGCTTCTGCCTCTTGCCCTGGCTGCACATCGTTTCATCGTCACCACAACCGTGACACATGCTTCAAATTGAGGAGCACACTGTGTCTTTGGTTCATCTCGAGTTCTTTCCACACACACGCATACACTTCTCTCTGCACGTTGTACGCCCTTGGTTCGCGTCCAATCTCTCTCTGTGTCTTCCCTCTCCGTGTCAACTAAAAGATCCTATACACACATAGCCAACGCTCAACGGTCGAAGCGTTCGTTTGTGTTTCCCCAGATCCGATCTAGGCACGTCACTCACTCCAAGTGATTGATACTTGCCAACCCGTCTTGTCTCCTTTTCCCTCCCGTCACTGCCCCGTTACTTTTCATCCAACCTCTCTCTGTCTTGCACTATTGATTGCGCTGGCCCGACAACAAAAACTCGACTCTTGGCCAACTGGGTCATTAATTCGTGTTTCCTGCTGCACTCTTGGTCTTCCTCTCAGTACATATACACATACACGTACTGCTGGCTTTTGGCTTCTACGGATATATACCAAGGCTCGCTCATCGCTTGGCGCGGGAAAAGAAGAGTAGATCTCGTCTCGACTCTTTGGCGGGCTTCAAGGATATATCACTGCAACTTCCCTTCGTGGCCTGTCGGAAATTGGATCGTCGGCAAGGTTCTTGACATATCCTTTTTCCAATTCGGCTGGCTGCCCAATTGCTTCTGGCACCGAGTCGCACCATACAGCTCTTTTGCTCGAGTTGTTGATGTACCTACCAGACGACGCATTGACCGTCCGGCTCGTACTTCTTCCAGACTGCACGACACCTCTTATTGGGCAGACTGTTCACGATCCCGTCATCGCGGCACACTGATACACTCCACGTCTCACACGGTCCTCGGCCTCTCGACTGCCATAATTTTTTGGACGTTCAGTTTAGGCCCATCAGTTGTTCACACGCCAGACATCATTATTATTAGCCTGAACTGTACGGCTTGTATTGAATTCTGGCAGCGTTGCATCTCCACCTTGTGGTACTATTGATTGCAACTTCTGCCCTTTCTTTTTCTTTCAACGTTTTGATCGTTGCGCTACTCAAAAAAGTGTATTGATCATTCCGCTACCGACCACTTCATTGGCTCTGCTATTAGCTGGGAAATATACGAGCTCAAATTGGACATGTGGGAACATTCACAAACGAGGTCTCTATGGAGGCCACCGAGGGCGGCCACGACGTTGCTGCTGGCGCTTACGTCGACCACGTCTGCCCTGTCATTGGCAAACTTTCAAATCATCACCTCGAACGCGATACCGTCCCCATGTATAGTCGCTTACAACGCACAAATTGCGGGATGTACGCAGACGGACTTCACCAATGGCAACCAGTGCTCGACACTATGTATCAGCGGCCTGAGGGCCGAGGGCACCATCGTCCAGGCCATCTGTGGAGGCTTGGATGTGAATTCCAAGTCATTACTGGGATTGGTCCTTGATGGAAAGATTTTGGAAACCCTTTGCCCCGGAGCTGATTCTGACACAACCACGGTCCAAGTCACGGTTCGGCCCACTACATCAAGCAAATCGACGACGGCGGCCACAACCTCGGTGCAAACGCTTACGACGACGAGCAGCGCAATAGATACCACAACCACCACATCCACCTCTGTACAGAGCACTTCCAGTACCGCCATTATCAATGTGCCATCGTCGGACAGCTCCACGACGGAAACTATAATATCGACGACCACTGCAGCGTCACAAACGACGCAAGCCACAAGCACAACGTCTAGCGACACATCCACATCCACCACTTCCGACACCAAGCCTCTCAAAGGAGGCGGAAGTCCTTTCGATACAGTTATTACAAGTCGGGCGACAAGCTTGGCACTGCCGGCCATGATGATATTGGCGCCCTTGTTAGGCGCAGCTATGCTAATCATGTAAAGGCACATACCCCACTGCTATTTGTGGTGGTGAAAGGCTCCATCATGGCTGACCGATTCAGCCCATGATATCCACAAAGGTGTGGTAATGATGAGATGACATTGATTCGGGATGAATTGTACAATAATAAACTTTAGCATTGCGTGGCGTCTGGTAGTTTAGTTCCCGACATGGGCACATTTGGGTTATCAGATGGAAGAAAAATGATTAGTGGCCGAGTGAGTCGGATGTGAGAATACCACGAAACTCTAATGTAATGGACATTTAGTCCAGTCACGGAGTTGTAATCGTAACCTAGAATAGGGACGAAATGATGCAACAATAATATAAATTCAAGATTGTGGATGCGCCCATGTTGTTCCACCTGGATAATCTCTCTAGTATATACAACTAGTAGCGCCCATAGAGTTGATGAGCAAATTACCATTACTACTATTGATAATTCATGGCCTAATGATAGTCAGGATCTATATGCATACCACCAATTGAAAGCCATGTACCATTCCGGACCGTCACGTAATATTAACTTTTGCAGAATATGCATAGTGGTAAGTTTTCATTGGTCAACAATTTTGTAGTTTTTGTTCTTTTAAATGTATATGTGATCTCTAGTGTCGAGAACTTGATAATGCCGCCCTCTTGTTTCATTATACTGCCAGATATGGCTCAGCATTCTGCTAGTTGATTCCCGCTCGCACACCAATAACAGTTCAACACTGATACAATGGATTCATTTCATATGATCATTCTCGCGTCAAAATGGGTGTTGGTATTATCATAATAAACTTGATCATTCGCTTGTCCTCCTCCACAAATCCCGCATCTGAATGACTCCGGGGATACTTGCCAGCGCGCCAATCGTCAGCTCATTGAACAGACCCTGTTCCAGACTCCAGTGCAGCGTGAGGGGGAACCAGGCCATGTTCCTGCCGACGAGCTTGCGCCACTCGGTGCTCCACTCGGCCTCCTCGCGCTCAAAGACGGCGACCGTCTTGTCGCCCATGCGCTGGCGCTTGGGCACGCTGGCGCGGCGGTAGCGGTCCAGGAACAGCTCGGCCAGCTTGAGCCCGACAAAGGCGCCCCAGAACCGGGCGCTCCACCGGTAGGCCTTGCCAATGGTGGCCGGCTGCCACTTTAGCACGCTCTTCTGCGCCAGGTAGCCGCCGTTTTCGAGGGCTTGGAAGATGACGCAGGCGACGAGCTGCGACGCGGCGAGGGAGACTTCGAGCTTGTCAATCTTGGCGGCGGCCGAAGCCTTTTCGTCGCCTGTTGCCGATGATGCTGCTGCTTTCCTCGCTTCCCGTAGTCGTAGGACCAGGCCTCGGCCCCAAAAGTACATGCCCAGCAACCCCCACAACCGCAAAAAGGTGCGCGTCTCGCTGAGGAGAGCACTAAACGTCTTGAGCCTCTGGCTGAGCTCGAGGAGTATGGCGGCGCCGGGCGACGGGAACAGGGCCTTTGTGGAGGTGAAGAGGATCGTGGTGCTCGGGGGCAGGGCCGAGGCGATGGCGAGGAGCCGGTCGGCGCCGCGCTTGAGGGCGGGGCGGGTGAGGAGCTCGAGGGCGGCCGACGAGAGGCGCGACGAGTAGCACAGGAACAGCAGGACCGTGTCGATGCCCGAGGGGGTGCTGAGGCAGCGCTGCAGGTGCGCGAGGAAGGCGTCCACGTTGGACGGCGCCGCCTCGAGCAGCGCCCGCAGCGGCAGCGGCTTCGGCGGTGTCGACGGCGAGGGTGCCGATGACGAGGGCACCGGGTCGCCCGACGGTAGGTCCGTGGTCGCTTGTACCTCGGTCGATGACATGGCGGAGAAGACTCGCTGTGTTTCTCTTTTCTGTAAGTGAGGTCGCCGACACAAAAGACAAGGGAAAAGGAGAAAAAAAAAGACACGCGCGGTAAACGAGGCTGTCTATCGGAATGGTTTAAAAGGCAGAATAAGAGAAATGGACAAGATCCCCAGTCGAGTTTATTGTTGCAGCCCTTCCCGATAAGACAGACAACGGGACAGAAAGCCGGTTGGGCATGTGCTACATACCCTTAGGGGAGGGAGTACCTAGTAATAGTAGTAGGTACTGAGTGGATTAGCGGTCTTACAGGAGAAATGTTATCCGAGCTACACCCCCCCTCACTATCCGGGCTACCGCATTGAAGGGCCATGTCAGATCCCGGCATTTGAGTAAATATGATATACCGTTGTAAGAACCGCCAGAGGTTGTACCCAGAGGGATTCTTAAATTCTAAATTGGATAAGAGTGCGGTGTGTGACTTGAGTATATCGCAAAGAACATACGCATAGAGCCTGAACCTACAGCTACAGCCTGCACCTGGAGTCTGGTTGTATAAGCTATAATCCGGCATTTGAATACGGCACCTGAAGCAACTTTATCTCAAGACATTCAAATAGCGAACGATATTAGCAGTCTGGTACTCGTCAAACTTGGTATCAAAAGGTCCATTAATTACTATACATTGAATTTGAACTCTATGTATTGGGTTATCATAACGTTATTATAGGAAATACATCATCTGCGGTAGCCCAGATAGCTGAAGGGGGGTAAGCCCGGGTAACATTTCTCCTTTACAGGGGGATTTCCTGTTCTGGGAGAATGGCGCGGCCCCCAAAAACAGAAGTGCCAAAATCTGGGGAAATGGAGGGGGGGTCGTCTCTCTGCTAAACATGCCATGCCTAGGGAATGGGCCGAGGGAACAAAAGTAATGTACATTAGGTGACCAGCTTGTGCATGATGAATCGACGTGATAGACGAAATTGAAGAGCAACAAGAGGCACTCGTCTGCACTTCATAATCTCCGAGAAATGAGATTTGATATTTATGCGCGGGCGGAAAGGATGATTTTTTTTTGGTTTGTGGAGGGTGCAACTGAGCAAAGCGTTTATAGGTAGATCTCACTCAGTGCTTTGGGGTAGGTAACAAAGTACATTACTAGTTACAGTGGTGTTGTAATAACAAGTCGGTCGGTCCATTGTATCCTCGTACCCTGCCCCTGCCGTACATTAAAGATACCTCGGCACGCCGGTTCGGGGCCACGGCACGGTACCTAAAAGTAATCCACATTTGGATCCCCTTCCAAGCCTATAGAATAGTACGTAACGTGGGGTTTGTGCCAAGAATCCCAAGATCCAATCCTGAAATGTTACCACTGGTAGGTACAATGTCAATCCAGTGTTGGTACGGGGTCCTCATCGATTATAAGAGACATCTCCATAAACAGTTCCTTGATGTGCTACGCTATTGTATAAGTGTGCTTATCGTTCCAAGAACAATTCGTCGTGTGTACAATTTCGCTTGGGGGAAAACAGACGTGCCTGCCCCAACAACCACGACGCATCATTACCGAGCCTAGCCTTGCGCGCCAACCCTGACCATTCCATATTCACACCGTCGTCACCTTTAGATGCACTTGTCCTCCTCCTCCTCCATCTTGCTCCTCCAGAACGTCTATCAGATCGCCATCCTCGAGCTCGAGCTGATTTAGATTGCAAGACTCGTTATTAGCAATGCACAGATTTCATTCGACAGCGTTAAGTAAAGGGATGCAAAGGTGCCATCGACTTACATCATTGGCAGTTTGGTCCTTGTGCATTCTCTGGCCGTCAAACGTGACGAAGCGAAGCCTGTCCACATGCCGACCGGCTTGAGCAGCAAAGAATTCCATCATGGCCCCGAGAGGCGACGTGCGTCGTATTTTGACGAGACTTGTGCGCTGGTATCGCGCGCTTTGCTTTACTTGCAACTTGATGATCTCATTCTGCTGCTGCACTTCAGACTGAGATGCTGCTGCTGCCGCCGCCGCTGCGGGAGCCACGGGAACATGACTGTCTACTGATGCTCCTTCCATTTTCGTCTTCCCGTCGGGGTGGGAGGACAATGCTGAGCCAGACATTGCAATCGATGAGTGTGGGCGAGTAATCGATGGAGGTCAAAATAATGATGTCTTTCGATTATAGTAAACAAGACCTAGAATCATGTATGAGCGTGTTCGCACTCCCGCTGAGCTAGCGTGATGTAATAAGATCAGTTCGAGCTGTGCTTTGAAGGACAAGGACAGACTTGGGTGGGAATTCCTAGATGACGGCATATCAGTGTCCAGTATGCTCACTGTTCGAGTTTCTATGGCAGGTACACTCAGTGGCTTCCTCCCATTACAACTTCCTGGCTGTAGGCTTTTGCCCTGATGAACATCACCTTGACTGGGAAGGAACCCATCAGCATCTTGAGTGGTCGATCTGAGCTCCCATCATAATAATCATCTATCAAATCATCAAATCATCAAATCATCAAATATCCATCGACTCACCTTGTCTGGAGGGCTCGGTTGATGCTGGCTCTGTTCTGGCTTCACCTTGAGTCACTGATTCGGAACAAGGCCAGCTGATCAGTCTCACAGAATGAAGCACATATCCGACGTAGTCCGGATCTGTTAAGAGAAGAAGCGCAGAAGAGGAAGAAGTGAGAAAAGAAAATCAATAACCCACCATTTCAGTGAGTAGATCGACAGCTGCTTGAATCGTTACTGGTATGACCGTACCGTAGAAAAGAAGATAGATTTAGCAACCACTCTTCTAAGCAGAAACTAATCGTGCGCTCAACGGGAAGCCAAAGCCCTTCCTGCACAACCAACAGACTCTATGATGAGGCTGTACACGGATAACCACAGGCTCCAGCCACTTGTGGCGCATTAATAACCAACCGTGGAGCATCTACAGGCCAGGAGGAACAAGCAGCACGACACAATGATGTTTGGCAGTTCTTCTATTACAGCATCAGACTCTAATATTTACAAACAGAAAAATAACTGCGCAAGGAACAGGCATGCTTGTCTGATGTTGATGATACAAGAGGAGCAGATAGGAAATGCTCTAAGGGTATCAGGCTGTATCATGCAGGGGAAAGGGAAGGGAAAAAAGTGAAAGACAGAGACGCAATCCCTCTTACAAAGGTACATCATATAGTACATAGAACGAAACGAAACAAAATCCTATCTTCCAGCCTCAAAACTATTCAGCCCTACAACGCCCTTAGGCAGAAGCCTCTGCATTGTGGTCTTCGCCTTCGTCCATGAGTTGCTCAGACTCGTCCAACTTCTTGCTCAAATCTCTCGCTTGGTTGATAACATCCTTGCTCTGAGCAGCCAAAAGAAGCTTTTCTGCATTGGCCGGGAGTCCCAGGTAGGTTGGTGGTTCTCGCTCAGGCAACTTGTTGATCCAGTCTTGGAATGCCTGGAGGCTGCCCTCACTAGGCACTGTGAGCCCGCCACTTTCACTATCCTCGACGAGCTTGTGCTCGTGTTCAAAGGCATTCACGTGCAAAGTCTTGTTCACCAGACCGTCTAGCACCTGGTAATCGCCATCATCATCAATCTTGCCGCCGTAAGTGATGCGAACCAGGCTACGGATCATGTCCCACGGGATATTCTTGGGATCGACATTGGAACGGTTCTGGGCAATATGCTCGAGCCAAGTATCGACGATAAATGCAGAGCATTCATACTATATTTCAGTCAGTAGGTATTTCACAAAGCATTGCGGGAAGACAGATACTCACATCAGAATCGTTGAACTCCCAGAATTGCTTCCAGCCCAAGGGTGCGTATCGCAAGCGCTCTTGAATCACTGCATGCAAGAATGACAAGAGGAAGTAGAGTCTGGTTCTTTCACGCGGGTCCTTGACGGCTCTGCTCGAGAACGAGGTCATTGTGTCCTTCATGTTTGCCCTGATACCCGCGGACTGTTCATTCATCAAGATACGAGAGGCCCGTAGGAAGTTGACCGGTATCTTGGGCTGTGCCTCCATTGACAAGAACAGCCTAAAGTCGGGATGCGGTTGCTTTCTCGATTCGAGTCGCTTCTCCAATGACTGGAGCCAGTCTGGAGTCAGGTGCACATTCTTGATCAATACCCAGCGTCCATTACTGGAAGCATCGGCAATAGCCTTGTCTGCCACATCCTGAGATTTCTTGGAGCCCATTGCCACATTGGTGCAAGAGACGCCCAGTCGCTGGACCAGCTGGTCGACCTTGTAGCTTGCATCAAATCCTCGGGTTGAGACCAGGGAGATTGGAGTACCCAACTTCACCTGCTCGGTTGTGCGTTTGAGATCCTCGGTAACATCAAAGAAGCCAGAACCAAAAACAGAAGTGACGAGTCGCTCTGCCGCTGGCACAAAACGATCCACTCGGAAGAGCTTGACAAGGAGTAGGGACAATAGACCTTGATCGTACAGGCCAGTGTCGGCATCCCACGGTTGTGGAATGTGGTCTTCAGCATTCTCCTCTGTCAAAAACTTGTCCCAGGCAGTATCTGGTATGGAGTCGAGCTTGCTCGCAAGCACACTGATCTCCTTTGCCTTTGTGATTGCCTCGGCCTTGGCATCTGTCTCGGTTGAGAGATCCCGGCCTTGTGTGTGCTCACTCAAAACGACGTCAAGCACATCCTTGTCCATTGCGTAGAACTGCTTTGGCGCAGCTCGGAGGAGCAGTAGGGCAAAAATGATTAGGTGTTTCTGGAAGAGACTGGATGCCGTCTGCTTGAATGTACTGACAAATAGATCACGTACGATGATCTTGCGACGAGCCTCGTCATTCTCCTTGGGCTCCTTGGCTAAACTGTCATTCTCGCGCAGCACCTTGGTGAAGATGTCGAGGAAGTACTGCAGCGAGAATTGATAGAAGCGGTCAATATTGTGCAATTGATCCAGCACAGAAAATATCGAGCTACATGACTGTGCGACAACGTTGTATTGGCGAGTAGTTGTCTCCAGTTCAGCCATGGCATTCTCGCCATCGCTCATCTTCTCAGCAATATCGGCCGCCTCCTTCTTGAGACTCTCGAGTTTGCTAATGACGTCATTGTTCTCGAGCAGATTTCCTTCAGATTCGTTCAAAGCCTGGAGGAGATTGTCCTCGAGCCTGCGGAGTGTGATCTTGTACTCTCCCTGGGCTTTGATGGAATTGGAGCGTTTCTCATCCACGTCAGGGCGTTCAGATTTCAACACCTGATCCAAGGACTGGGTTTGCAGACTGCTTTGGGTCACAGTAAAGTTGACAAAAGTCGTACGACTACAAATATCGGGCGGGAACGATACTGATGGATCTCGCGTGGAGAGGTACAGCTTGAAAGACGGCGAAAAGTCAATTTGCTGCTTGCCGAGCTGAATCAGGACACGGCCGCCTGTCCTTTGGTATTCCCTGTTCAAGACCGGGTTCAAGACCGGGTCGAGGTGCTCTGCATCTTGAATCAGGATGGGATTACCAAAACGAATGGCACTTTCGAGTTGCTTTGCAAAGTTGGCATCGAGGAAGCTGGTAACGGTCAGGCGACGGTCTTTGAAGTCCTTGAGCAGGAACTCTGTGATTCCACCAGACGGATCCACGATCAACGGGTAACGGTTGTAACGCTTGAGTATGATTGCGTTCTCGGTACAGAGGTTGTCAACCGGCAGGCCATTCGTTTGCCAGTGTAATCGCTCGTCAGCTACCGAAAGATACTCGGTAATCGCATTCGCTTGTTTCAGCTGCAGTCCAGATGCTGCGACCTGCTGGAGCCAGTCGTCCATCATAGACTTTCGGAATACTTGATCGTACAAGCCACCGTATGCCAGGAAGGCAGCCGCCAGCAGTACATCGCCAACAAGAGTGCCCATCTGGATCGCAAAAGATTTGCTCGACTCATCCCATCGGTATCTCTCAGAAGAGAGGTCACGGATGAGCTTATTGCTGCGGTCCAATTTAGACTTCACTTGGTCCAGATTCTTCTGTTTGTCCGAAATATCCGAGGTGAGGACTTGGAACTCGGAAGTAAGCCCCTTCTCTCTCTTCTCGAGTGAAACCAGCTGTTCCTTGATCGCTTCGTGTTCGGCCGTGGTTTCAACCAATTCCTCTTCAAGTTCGTCAACTTCGCTATTGAGGGGTTGGACCACTTCAAGCATCTCAGAGTACTTGACCTGTGCTTTCAGCCATTGCAGCAATGGACCACAGGCTTTGCTCGATCTGTAGACTGCCTCCACAGTAAAATTGTCATCGTTCAGGTATGTTTTCTGAATCTTTGCCCGAACTGCCTTCGTCATCGTTCTTGCATCGTAGTTTGCGACCTGATCTTGGAAATCTCTGCTACGCGTCGCAGCTCTGCTTAGGTTCCAATCACCTTCTTTTTCAGGCTGCCCTAGCAGGACCAAGACGGCGTAGATGGTATTCTTGACGTATTGTGGGGGAGATCCGAAGACAGCAAGTTCGGTCATGTGCTGTTTCTTGATTGAGCTCACAGCACTTCTTGCTGCCTCGATAGCGGGACCTGCGTCGGCAAGTTGTTGGTCGACCTGCGTCTTGCGCTCTTCGATCCGCTCGGTCCTGACTGACAATGTTTCCTGGAGTTTTGATGCCGTCGTTTGTTTCGCGCTGACTGAGGCCTTTGCTTCGACCATTTTCGAGAGCTTGATCTTTGATTCAGCAATCTTCTCTTCGAGCTCCTTTTCGAAGATCTTCAATTTCTTTTCAAGATCGTTGACGTCGTCCACGGTTTGGTTGAGTTTGGTTAGACCAACGTTAAGATGGCGTTGCTGGTCTTCTAGTTCGTCGCGTTTTTCATTGTACAAATTCACATACTGCGCAACAAAATCCAAAAAGTGTCGAGGCGTCAAGAAAGTAGTCTTATTCTGCTGCGTTCGCAGGCGGCGATTGAATTGATGCAGCGAGTGGTGGATGTAGACCATGGAGTTGATAACGGTGTCTCTGTGAGATGCTGGGAGTTCCAAACCCCGATAAGCTACCGGAATCGTGTCAGCGGAAACAAAGTCAGGTCGGTCAAGGTCAATCTTGGATGTCAACTCCTTGCCAACTTGGAAGAAAGCCTCGTCAGACCAGTCGCCCATCCAGTTAAGAACGCAACGGTTGAACAGTGCAGGACTGGTAGCAGCCTTTGAGGACAGGCCTTCCTCGGGCGGGTTCATCGTGAAAACCACGTGCAGGTTCTTCACAATCTTTCCGGTGAACCATTTGTACAGCTCATCATTGGAATCAAGAATTTGGCCCTCTCTTTGTGCTCCTTCTCTGCAGGCCGTCATCAAAGTAGTGTATTCGTCGCCTTCGAAGAGACCAGGAACCTCTGCATTGGCTAGCAGTGTATTCATGCGCTCGAGGAAACCGGAATCCAAAACGTTGGACTCGTCCATAATAAAGCACATTTTCTGATCTTTAGTTCCACAAGCGCGGAGGACATCTCGCAAGTCGTCATCAAAGTCGGTGGCAGAGTATCTGCCATGGACCTTGATTTGGAAGACCTTCAGACCATTCATCCAAGCAACAAAACGCGACAGTGTAGTCTTTCCGCTGCCACTGACACCAATGAGAATGAGATGGCCTTGAGGCTGCTGGAACACACGGTCGATGCGCAAAGCGTGCTCGAGCACCTCGTTGAACAGAACCAATGGCATGTCGACTTCTTCTTCGCAAAAAGTCTTGAGACGCTCCTTGACAAAGGTACGCAACTCTTCTCTTCCAACAGGGACATAGTTTCTGTTGAGCCAATTTGAGAACAAGATGGGCCCACCAAGTGCCTTGGCTTCGTCGATTTGCGGGAAGTATTTCAGAGCGATTCTGTTGATAGCCTCAATCGTCCATTGTCTCTCCTGTTCCGTGACCAGTCGATCATGGAAAAGACGCAAGGCTTCATGGGCCCAGATGCGGACCAGTCCGTTCAGATTCATGGACTCTACCTCGCGCAAAGCCTCATACACACCACGCACCCATCTTGTCAGTTCACGTGGACTGTAGACGTAGTGTGGCTGGTCCTTTGCGGTGAATCTCTGTTGAGACTCCAGATAGAATCTGACCATGGCCTGTGTAAAGTCGTCGGCATAGCCACGAATGTCGTTGTGCGTCTTGAGCACGGCACTGTTGAACGTTCCGTAGATTTGGTTGAGAGACATCTCGCCGGGGTAGTCGACCATAATCAGGGGCGCATGTCGAAGGAAACGGGGCGTCAGTGGTGTTCGGCCGGCATCTGTAGGGGGGTTACAAGCGCCAACAAACTGGATCCTGTCAAGCGTTACCCAAGCCTTATCTTTTGTTCTCCAAAAACCATTGTGTTCCACCAGCTGTCGAAGGAAGGAAATGGCACGTTGAGTTCCGTATTGGTCCGGAGCAGGCAAGTTGATCTCATCGCAGAATACCACGAGCCACCTGCCAGTTTGAGTGGGCGATAGCACAACACCATTGAGCGTTTTCTTGTACTCGCAATATTGGTCGAATGTCTTGATGAGCAATTCAGGGGTCGTGGCACTCGAGAAGTTGAGACCCGCAACTTCCATGTTCGGTAGTTTACGCAGAGCACTGAAAAGCGTCATTGTTTTACCGGAACCAGGAGGTCCACAGAGGAGAAGCGGCTTGTGATCTGCAAGCCAAGAGTATAGAACATCTTCATGACGTACGGTGTCAGTGGTAGGGATAACAACATCGGTCTGCACGATGCTGTCAACGTGGACTTCAATGGCTGGTACTTGGTTCTGCCAGGGGATCCACTCAGCTCGGGGCAAAGACACGTCAAAGTCAATGAGCGAGCTTGTTCCATCAATAGGCGGCTGCCCAAATCTTGCCAGGTTTGAAAGGCTGTCACCGAAAGCCTTGCGATCCACCAAGGGACAATCACCTGTGAATGCCCAGACTAATGCAAGCAGAAGCTTCTTTGATATGTAGGCTTCGGTCTGATCGGCATCCAGCGGGAAGTCACTATGTTGAGCGTTGTACTCGACAAGGTTGCGAATCGCCTTATTCAACAACGAGAAAAGTGTCTCCAAAACACGAGTTTGCGTAAACAACATAATGTGGTTGTAGGATTGTGCATCTTTTAGAGCAGCATGGATAAAGCTGTCCGTTGTGAGACATTCTTCCAGGTAATCAGCTGCTTGCTTTTGCAAGGAAAGAGCTTGTGCGCTGTTGAGATCGACCAACACATCCTCGTCCAAGTTTTCGAAGAGATTGTTGCGTAGGCTCTCGAGATAGTGAGCGACCATCATGTTTGTATTGACGACGTCTTCGCTGAACCACACCATACCGCATCGACTCACAGTGGCAGGTGTGGCATGATTGAGATTCTCAACTTCAAACATCACACGAACGTTGGATGGAAGGTTGAGACGTTCACCGTTGGGCAGCGTCAAAAGCTTGTTGTCATCGAGGACAGAGTTCAAGTTTTCAACCCACTCCGGGTCGACATCACCATCGAAAACGATCCAGTGACGCTTGCTGTCTTCTCCACGAAGATTGTCAATGATGGCTCGCAAAATGCTGGTGAATAGACCATCAGTCCATTCGCGCGTCGTGGGGTCAAGCACTCCGTACAAGGCTTCCTTGGACATGACCTTTGAATCAATAACGTGGCAGACACCTTGTACGCCCTCTGCCTCCTTGAGAGCGTCGAGAAGTAACCTCCAGGCGACAGACTTTCCGGATCCAGAGTTTCCGACCATCATGACACCGTGGTGAATATTCTGGATCTGGTACAGTTGTATAATCTTTGTCATCCATGTTTCGCCAACGACCAGGTTCCGTGCTTTGGCCAAGCTTCTTATTGCTTCCTCGAGCTTGCCGAGGTCACCTGGGACGTATTGCACTCCTTCGAAGCAGCTGGCCTCTACTGATTCCATGATGGCCACATCTTTTTGGAGAAGTTTTGGAGCAACAGTCTCGCGAATGCTTTGCACGATGATTTCTGGCTCAACGACTTCTTCTGCCCCGATATCCCCTTCAGAGCCAGTAATACGAGCTCGCTTCAGGCCACCGGAGCTTACAAGCACACTTTTGAGGGCACGTAGACCAAAGTCGTAGTGAGATTCATGTTCAAGCTTGTCTTTGCACTGATCAAAGAATGGAACAACTTGCTTGGAGAGCTGCTTTGCTTGCTTAAAACCCTGAGAGTAGAGCATAACTTCAGCAATGAGTTCCTTGTCGGGCTTTGACATGGCAACGCTGCGGAAGAGTTTCTTCAAGTTGTCTGGCAGATTGGAACGACCAGCATAACCAGGATTCATGGTGATGAAGATGCCACTGTTGGTGTCGACAGTGATGGGCGCCGAATCATCCTTGAGCTTGACCTTGGATTCGTGCTTCAAGCCAAGCTGAATGTCTTGAATTTGTTGCGAAACAGCGGATAGGATCCTCTCTTCGAGACGATTGAACTCGTCGAAACAACCCCATGCACCAACTTGACAAAGACCCAGGAAGATACGACCCATGGCACCATCGTCGAAAGTGTCATCACAACAAAACACTAGTGTGAAGCGACCAAGTTCAACACCCAGAGCCTTGACAGATTCAGTCTTGCCGGTACCAGCGGGGCCATATGGTGATCCTCCCAATCTTTGACAGAGAGCTTGGGTCATGGTCAAGAAGCACCTGTCCGTCAGCGGCGTGCGGACAAGCCTGTCAGGTATACCAAGGTACTCGAAGCCATAATTGAGCGCCGCATTGGCCATCTTAATCTGAAGACGCTGCAGATAGTCACCCTCAGGTGTGTAGACGTAGCGCATCTGGAGCAGCCACAAGTAGTGCGTTGGAGATGCCGCGCCAAATTTCATCAATTTGCTAATGATATCACGCTGATGCACAAAGTTTGTAATTAGTGCCTCGCACTTCTTCCTTTGAATGATCGGCAAATCGCCCAGGACGGTGTCTGCGAGAAGACGGAGGAGGTCTACCTCGCGTTCGTAGATCGCTTGAAGGTTTTGACCATCATTGGCAAGTGATGCCTCGACGGCTGTCGTCCATACGGCTTGCGTGGCAAGAACCATCATTTGACTGGGATATGATTCAATGTATGTGTTGAGAGCATCCGGGTCAATCTTGTCGGCATTGAATATCGGGGTAAAGGAATCAATAGCTTCCGCGAGCAGCTCGGCAAGGGTGTATTTCATGCCATTTTCAAGCAGCGCCAGCCAGTCGTTGATTTTCGGAACCTTGACCAAGGAAATACTCTTCTTGAGACGAACAGCCTCGCCTTCTTTGGAGGTAAATCCAGAAATAGTGGTCTCATCGTCCATGATGAGATTGTTGATACCAGCAAACATCTTCTTGAAATGTTTGGTAATGCGCAGAGTCTCATTGCTGTTTCCGATCATCTCGAGAAGATCATCATTGCCCACAAAATAGAATCGAGGGAATGACGCTCTCTCCTTCTCCAGGTAGGCTTCAAGACCACTAGAGACTGAGTTCAGAGCCTCCTCAACCTGTCGGAGTCGAGGTTCCACGTTTTCGATACGAAGAACATCGAGAATCGTGGGCTTCCTGGCGACAGCTTTCAGAATGCTGTGGAACTGGCTGCTCTGGTTTTCGAATTTTCTGGTCTCATTTGGCAGCAGGTGTTTGATATCTGCGCTGCCTGTAAAGACTCCCTCGAGATAGACCCACTTCTGCTGCACTTTCTGGAAAACATCGAGCAACACGCCAATCTCGTTCATCCTGGTCTCCCAAATATCGGCGTCCTGTTGAAAAGTTTTGTAGTATGGCGAGTGTTTCATGGCTTGCAGAGAGTTCAGGTGTTCGCTCGACTTGGCCATCATATCATCGTGGCAGTCTTTTCGCAAAAGCCGGCACTTGTTCTGGTAGTTTGTAAGATCGAGGTTATAGTTCTCCCAATGATCTTTGACCTGCTTCAAGAATTCTTCCAGAGCCATTTCGCCTTGCGCTTGGGTGATGACATCTCGGATGATAACTTCACTCGCGACAAGGTTGAGCTGCCACACATCGCTGAGTGTGGTGGAGGAAGGCGAGTAACGTCTGCCGGGCTTGAGGTCCTTCCACAGCTTTTCCCAGTGGCGCTCCTTGATCGCATCTGACTTCAAGTCAGTCAAGATGGCAACAGCTTTCAGGTGCTGTTTGAGCACAGTCTGCATATGCTCGTAGGCAGCATATTGACGCATTCTGCTCGGCAGATTCTTGGTCGTTTCGATGAGCCCGTTGATGGATGACCGAAGTTTCCGGGGCTGAACACTTGCCCATGGCGTCTCACCGAGCTCATTCAAACTGTTCCAAACTGTGGAAAGGTTCGCCCACACTGACTTGAAATCTTCAATCTCCCCAAGGATATCGGAAAGCGAAGTTGCTGGGCTAGGTGGAAGATCGAGAGCTTCTTTAGCTTTGGAAACCATGGCAAAATCTTCTTGCAGCTTATTGGCACGAGACTCAAACGAGCCCAAGGTTTTGGATGCAACCTCATGGGGAATGGTACCAGATACCGGCTTCTCCTCGTTCCATTGTATGTCAATCTCGGCAATCTTGTCCGTCACAATCTTGTCCTCTGCAAGAATCTTGGCCTTGAGAGCATCAGTCTGATCCTCGACGATCTTGGATTTCCTTGCAAGCAGGTCGTTCAGAGCATCCCACATGTTTTCGATCTGGGCAATGTCCAGCCAATCATTGGGCAATTGATAGCGATTGCGATGGAGCATCTGCTGGCCTTGGCGGAAGACATCCACCTCAGGTGCCCAGATCTTCACGTTGCGCTTGCATGATTGAACTATTGTGATGAATTGCACAGCCTGGGCAGTGGAGGATGCATCTAGGCCTTGGCTCTCGAGATCCCTTCGAGCTTTTTCGATTTCAGCGTGAACTTCCCTCATGCGACCACCAAGTCTGCTACCAAACTTTCCAAGGATATCGTGTTGCCATTGATCATACTTTGCATTCACCTTGGTCTGAACTTGTTCGTAGTCGATCGTGGTACGCCCAAAAGATCTGCTGACCTCGGTGGTGTCAAATGTTGCGCGAGACTTCCGAATCTCCTGAAGCAGTTGCAGCCACTTGGAAAGTTGTTCTCCCAACAAGTCGTAGACGTGGTCCGATTGAAGGTCCCACAGGGACTGGAATTGCAGCCACTTATCCACATAAGCGGCAATGTTTGCCAGCTTGGTCTCAATTGACAGGTAAACGTGTGACAGGATTTCTGCGCATGAGCCAGGAAGATCAGTGAAACGAACTTCTTCTGGGGCAGCGGTGCTCAGTGACAGAGTCATCTGGTATCTTGAGGCCTTGATCTTGGGCAGGTTACAGACCACACCAAGCCACTCATGCAATTGCAAGAACCAACTTGCTCGGGCAAACTCCAGCGGCGGGTCGAGATAAATGACCTGGTTCCTCATAGTGATCTCATGCACAGTTTCCTTCATCACTGGCATATTCGACTTGATAGAATCACCGGCAGGGGTCAACGCCTTGCGGCGTGAAGACTCATCGTTGGGGCTCTCGTCCTCAAAGGCAGCAATCCAATGGCCAATGGCTTCCTGAAGCCGCACTAGCAAGGTTGCCTTGATACCTTCATTCAGGCGCTCGACCCAATATCCTAGGTTGACATACTGCTCCAAATTCAGCTGGTCAACGGCGGCTTGGATGATCTGCAACCGTTTTTCAAACTCTGCTGCCTCATAGGGGCAAGTTGCTAGTTCTCTCGAGGCCGTCTGCACAGTTGCGTAAATGGATGCCAGCGCGATTGTTTTGGATTGTAATACAGAAGCGGCGGCGGCAAAATCGCGTACGAATTGGACGTGCTTGGTGCCAGCGTTGTTCCGGCCCAAGGCATGTTCCAAAGTACCATTCGGGAGATGTTGCCTCATGTGGACATCCCATGCGTCAAGGAATGAACCCCATTTCAGAGGCACACCCTTTTCAATAAGGCTATAGACTTCTTGTTGATAGCCTCCCAAAAGGATCGAAACTTCGGACATTTCTGAGATCTGGCGCGATGTTTGGGCAAATGTCCGCACACTCTCCATCAGACTGACGGCATAGGGATAAACTCGCTTGGCATCTTTCGCGGTGTTATTCACAGAGTGAGGCACATTGAAGTTTTGCCAGCCCAGGTTTCTGGTCTCTTTGAAGAGCGTGATGATCTGTGCATCGAAATTGACAGAGAGGTCTAGAGCATTGTTGGCGGACCTGATCTTGTTGATGTTGAATAGCCGGCCAGAGATTGTGATATTCTTGCGAAGAACATCATCAATCCATGCTTTGTAAATGGCTTGGGTATCCAGCTTCTTTCTGAACAGATCGCTCTCTGTCTGCAGCTTCTGACCTTCCGTGTGATGGATCCAATCTGAACCAAGGATATCTTCCACCTTGCCCATGTAACCGTCCAGCTGACGCTCGATCTGTCTAGCCCAGATAATGGCGCCCGAGACTGGGGGGAGATCATGAAGTTGCGCCATAGCATGAGCCTCCGAGTGACCATACTGCTGCTTGAATCGCTCGTGGAGAGCAGAGATGGCCTGCTTTACGTTGTCAATGAGCTGATTTTGGTACTCAGCAATGGCTCCTCGAATCTTGGGTCGGACGAAAAGCGCATTGAATTGAGAGAAAACTCGGAACATCTCATTGGCGTTCTTGGCAGTTGCGAGACGGTCGCGTAGTCTAGCAATGATCGAGTTCTCTACGCGAGTTGTGCGCTCATTATAGTTGTTCTCGGCACGCGCCCAACGCTGGGTGCCTTCGTCGGAAACGTCAAGCAAGTCTACGTTTTTCAGGGATTCCCAAGCCTGTCGTACTTCTTGCACAGCGTCCACGTCACCCAGTTCTTCACTTAGGACAGTACCATTGGTGGTGGGTTCTGCGCCTGCGCCAGCTCCATTCACAGTCGCTTTGGGACCAAGAACGATTACAATAGTCCGTTGCAATTGTTCGTGGTTGTCGCGGAATGTAGCGATGTACTTGAGCCGCGCTTGCAAATCACTATGCTTCGGGTTAATCTTGATGGGAATAAACTTCTCTTGCCGTCTTCGCGTGGTTTCTCGGGCAATGTTTGTAAACTCCTTGATCTGCATGTCCCAACCATGGAAAATTTCGTCGGCAGTCTTCATAAGAGCCTTAAATTCATCATAGTCGAGGTTGACCAAATCCGTACCGGGCAACAGACGATGCATGACCTCCTTGAGCTCGGCCGAAATAGCTTCAACAAGATCCAAGGTCCGCTTGATGGGGTAGTTGCTGAATCGCATTTTCCTGTTCATGTGACCAAAGATTTGAATGATTGCATCGTTCACCTTGGGCAGTGATGTAGCAGAAAGAAGGTCATCGAGAGGAAAGTCTCGCATGAGCTGGTTGTACTTTTGCACAGTATCCATGGCTTCTTTCAAGCCAGTATCCGACGAGAAACTGACAGTGGCCTGGAATCGCTTGGCATGCTTCAAGATCTCCAGTGTGAGCATGACGCCTTCGCTACGCAGCTGCTGCTCAATGCTCTCCAAAGCCGATTCCATGGACAGCCAAAAGTTGATTTCTTGGGTCGCAGTCCTCATGACCGGGTCTCTTGTCATCTTGGTGATGCCCTGAATCGACTTAATCCAACTATTCACAGTTGCTTGGAGACTGTTCATGAAACCACTGTCGGAAAGCAATGCGGTAGGGATCAACTCGAGAGAGGGTCGGATGCCCTGAGCAGTGGCGGCGTCCAATGCTGCTTGGACATGCGAGTGGAAGGGCAGCATAAGCTCTGGGATCTCAACATTCTGCTGGAGATGCAGTAGACTGAGCTCGAGCTCCGTCAAGCGTTTTTTCGTCACGGGTATGCCAGTCTTGCCGTCGATATCTGCCCTTCTAGCGCCTGTTGCTGCTTGGGAAGACCTGGTGCTGGCATCGAAATAAGGAGCCAGAGCATTATGAACAATGGTATGAAGAATCTCGAAGGGCGAAGCGGAAGGTCCTTGTTCAGCAACAACATTACTAAGAGAAGCAGCGCCAGGCAGTGTCTGAATCTGAATTTGTGAAGTCAACGGTAGGGAAGGGTCGATTGCTTGCGGGCGTTTGAGGAATGCCAGGTAGGCTGCTATGGTCGGTGATGGCGAAATCTCGGACGTGATTGTGTAGAAATGTGCGGACATGGCTACATGGCGAGGATCAGTATATATCTCTTTCGTCGTTGGGTGGCCCAAAGAAAAGCCATGAGCTCATACCATTATCTTCTGGATCTTCTGCCTCTTCCGATACGGGAACGATCTCTTTCTGTATGTACAAAGCCACCTGGGAGTCGCTCGCAAAACGTGCGCATCGCTGCAGAGTGTCGGTACGGTTTCCTGGGGACAAAAGGTTGCCGTCACGTTCCAGATCCTCTCGGGTAGCTCCTAGAGCTATGGTCACGACAGCAGCCAAGTGCTCTACCAGCTTGCTCGGGTCGATGCTGGCCAGGGGAGACGGAGGAGACGAGACGCCATTAGCCATAGGATCTTGGGCCCCCAGCGGGGAGCCCACCGTTTCCATCATGATGCCGGATGGTTGAAGGTTTTACAATGTCGTGGGTTCTGGCATAGGCGATCGCGAATTATGCTGTCAAGCACGTCGACATGGGATAGGGGACGGGACGAAGCGCGGGTGCAGAAGCTCGCGAAGGATGGCCGATCTATTGGGTTGGTGAATCTGCAAAACAACACAAAGACAAACAAATGAGTGTGAAGGGTCTGAGAGAGAATGTCTTTCTTCAGTGACCCAAACAAGTAGTGTGAGTTGTCGTGTGGGTGGATGGATGGCCAACCCAAGGTAGCTTGGTATTATTCTCTAGTATTGACAAAGGATGGGAATGGTGAGTCCAAAGTTTTGGGTTCAAATCGCCCAGTGCTATCGACAACGTTTCACGCGCTGCAGAGCCAAAAGATGTGCTGCTAGGGTGCGCTTGGTCGCGACTGGAGCGGCCCAATTCAGCTAATCTCTCTGCCAGATCCAGCACACGTAGGGAGTTCGAGGAGCATTAGCCTGCCGTTGCAACGCCTACCTGGGTTAAAGGCTTAAAAGCACCCTGGGCAGCTGCGGGTCAAGGGGGTGACAGAATCCCAATGGCATTGGCATTTGCCCCACGCCCCCCAAATGCCGAGCGCCCTTCTCTTCCATCCAAAGAAGCTCGACACGCCTGATGCTTGACAAACAAAGAAATGCTCCTCGGCTAGCTTTGTGATTGGCTGCTACATCACGACGTCAATGCTGGGACGACTTCTCCAGACTTTGCAGGGAAGGTACCTTGACGTTTTGATGTTGCACTGGGTCACACAAGAACTCTGCTTACATAACAACATCATGGGGAAAAAAATAATACCTCCCCGGTACTACGTACATCTATCAGTATCTAAGTTGTTGAGTATGTAGGAATTTCGATTATAGATGCTGCTACAACGATCTTTGCAGTCTGATGGCTCAATCTCAAGAAATCGATCATGATTTCCTCGGGGCTAAAATTATACACGCAGACAATTACATGCAAAGCTCATACATCTACTGACACTCTGGACATGGCGTGTATATCTCATCCACGAGTCGCGTTTTTCCAGTGCCCTGGGGAATCGGTGGGCAAAGCAAGATGTAGTGGTTTGTATTATTACTGTCGATCTATCCCATAACGCCAGACGGCACAGCTACACTATGCTGGAGATCAATATTCCACTCTAGCTATGTAGGTTCTGGTTTGACTTCCTTTTTTCCGCCGTCTAAAAGATCAATGTACCAACTCCGGTTCCCTCCAGTTCCCCTTCGACTATTTTCGTTTTCATACACTGCAGCAACACACTGATCTGCAGCCATAATAATAATAATAATAACAACAACACCTTCCAGTTCATACTAACTAGCAGAGGCACCGCCTTCTGCCGCACCATCGCCCGAGTCCAATTTGTGTCTCTGAACCATGACCCGCTGGTTGCAGATATCAATGAACATCTCAAACTTTTCAATCATCTCCTGCTTCTCACGCAACTGCTCCTTCATCTTCTCGAGTTCTTTGCGGCTTTCTTCCCTGACCTTCTTCAGCTCGGCTTTGGCAATTGCCAACTCTCTGCGCAAATCAGCTCTGATGCGTTCCTCCGCTGTAGGTGCCGGCTTGCTGTAGATTGCCGGCCGCGCATCTGCAATGCCAGCATCCACCTTGCCCGGATTGCGATTGATGGCCGCGCGAGCGTTATAGATATCTCTAGGAAGAAGAGGCACATGGGGATTCTCTTGCTGAAGAATCTCCAGGGTTTGAGTAACTCCGATGCCTGCATACGTTAGCATAGTCAGCCCAGCAACAGGATCCACATTTACTTGCCTGCCTCCTTCAGTTGTTTCACAGATGCCACCATTTTGCTGTCCAACTTCCGGGCAGCAGGATGCAGCAGCGGACTCTCACTCGGCCCATGATTGTGGTTCAGGTGACTCGTATCGGGCCGGTAGCGTATAGTCCACTGGGTTCTCTGCTCGATGGCGAAGAATCCAAATGGGCAGTTGCATTTGCGCGACGTCGTCTTTCGTTTGCGTTGCTCTGGAACCACACGACTCGGGGGTTTGCCGGCTCGATCGCACACGAAGAGCACCTTTTTCAGTCCAGGGACGGTCTTCTTGGATCTTCCAATAACAACGGCGTAGCCTACAGAAGTACAATACGAGAGAACCTCCTTGTGCACGGCTTCGAGGCTCGCATAACTGCCACCCTCTGGCGGCGGTGACATCATTGGGCCCTGAGGTGTCCGGGGCACATAGGGAGTTCCCTCAAGCAACTTGGGAGATAATCTGTCATCTCCGTCTGCCCCTTCGTCCTGACTGTCAACATCCATCTCGCCGTTATGTGGGTCATCGGACTGAGGGGTGGGATCAGCCTGCGCAGAAGCACTCGAGGATGCCGATGCCTGCAGCGGGGCCTGCGACTGATGGACCTGTGGTAACGGTTGAGGCGCCTGATGGGCCTGAGTGTGAGTCTGTTGGTGTTGCTGCTGTTGATGGCTCTGTGCATGGCTTTGTTGCGTTGGAGCTTGGTGAGACTGGTGGGACTGGGCATGGGCTTGGTGACGTGCTTGCGTGTGTGGTGCTTGATTCATCAAGTTGGGGTCGCTTGGTGGATGAACCTGCTGCGGCGGCTGCTGAATCTGCTGGACTGGCTGTTGCTGTTGTTGGACTGGTTGGACTTGCTGGGACATTGGGTGTGTCTGCTGAAGAGGCTGAACCTGTTGTCCAACAGATTGCGGCACCTGCTGCTTTTGCTGCTGCTGCTGCTGCTGTTGTTGTTGTTGTTGTTGTTGTTGTTGTACCTGCTGGCTCATCTGTTGCTGCATATATGCCATTTGAGTCTGGGATTGCTGGGGCATATGGCGCTGGGAGGTAGGTCTCTGACGGGAAGCTGCCACAGCTGCTGCCGCATGTGCCTGGTTCGGGGCATGTCTGGTGTTGCCGTTCGGAACATTGTGAACACCAGGGACGGGGGACGGCGTCGTCGAGAAGATGGGGCCCGGATATGTGCTCTGTGTCGACTGCTGAGGTGTGTAATGCTGGGGCTGGCCGTAGGGAGCTTGGTGTTGAGGGTGTTGAGACTGCTGAGGAGTCGGCGACGGCTTTGGCGGCGTTGCGGAATGAGATGCCTGGAAGCCACGTCCCCTCACGCCGTGAGCTTGAGGAAATGTGAGGCCGGCGTGCGTGTTTGAGCTGTTGGGCTGACCCAGGCCCGACATACTGGGTGCTGCCGGAGAGGGCGGAAAGCAACCACCGCGTGTACGACAAACGACTGTCAACAGCAACGACGAGGACGATTCCTATATCAAGGTCCAGTCGAAAAGAACCTAGACATATACGCGAGCTAGGATGCGATCGATGCCAGTATCAGACAACCCTGGCTGGCGCGTTGATGATGGGTGGGAGGCGTCGATATATCACGATCTTTCACACGGGTGTGTGCTGAATGAGATTTGGTTGGAAAACTGGTCTTGCTGCGAGATGGGGGGGATCGTCGCAGCCTGGGGCCTGGGGTGTGCGAACGTGGCCCGCCACAAACTGGAAGCCGCAGCTAGGACTTTGCAGTGTTTACCCGCTTCCAAACCAAATCAAAAATGGATGGACCGAACCAGATAGGGTTAGCGTTAAAAACGGATCCCTAGTACCTTCCAGAAAAGCCGTCAGTCACTGGCGGCAGCCACGCTAATGAATGCCCTGGACTGGAGCGTCAACTGAGCCCATGCACATCAATGATTGATCATTAATGCTTAAAAAAAAAGGTACATACAGCTACATACCGAAGTACAAATAGGGAGCTTGTCATTAGATCTGTAACCACACAACCAGAAGGCTCGTCTATGTTTTATGATCAATTAAAGGGGAAGCAACATACATATCCAAGACACCATCATTGACTGAGCAAAGACTTGGGACGTTTATCACCGTTGACTGGTGGCGGGTCAAAACGATGATTGCTTATTTTGTACGCAGTAAAGTGCCGCTGTTTAGGAAGACCCTACTACGATTGTTCTTTCTTCAATTCTATTCAATGCTGCCAAACAAAAAATGGATCATTCTTGGCGTATTTCCATTTGTGATACAGCCCGGCCATATTTTGTCATCTTACATCGAATATATCAATCTGGACATGAACTTGATATGACACATGAACAGGAAATACGAGTATATCAATATGGACATTGATACCGCAATTATACCTAGATTAAACTAGTTCTCGGGCTTTCTTTTTTCTAATTCACACCGAGTATTTGGTTCGCATGAGTAGTAACTCGAGAGAGACAAATGAGTGGTTGAAAAAAAAGAAGCTTTTTTGAATAAGTCTATTTCACCTTTTCTTGCTTATCTAGCAACTAGGTACAGCGTTCAGAATAAACGTATGGCGAAGGCCCGACAGCGCACCTGAGCTTGTATCAAAGTCGATGACGCGACGAGTCACTCTCCCCAGAGAAAAGAAAAATCTTATTTTCTGTGGGGAACTTGATCATGAAATGTTTACACGTTTATCTGAACGCCCTTGGCTTTGGTAATCGATACAGGCTGTAGCATTTCGCCAGGGCCATCGTGTGCATCTTTTGGGCCCCAAGTTGAAGAGAATGCGGCCAGATTTCCATTCTATATTTGGGCCATTCATTTATTATAATTTTCGCAAACAACGTGCTAGACTGATTAAATGAGATCATATTAAATTTCCCACGGTCTGTTGGGTTTCTATGTCAAAGAACGCGATGTCAGATGTCTTGTAGTTTTGTTGATGGTTTCTGGGTGTAGTTTATGACTTGCCACAGTACTGCGTCTCCGACCGCGCAAGAGTCATGTAGGCCAAGCATTATGGACAATGTAAAGAAGAGTGTGACATGGATGTCACAGCGGGGGAAGGACAGAGAATGAAAACCTTAAAAAGGGGGGGAAAGGGAAGGCGTCAAACATAAGAGAGTTTTGGTATAAGTACGTAGGTAGGTAACCCAGCATTAAAGATCAGCATCTGCTTATAAGCCAAAGGTTCTTTAGTATTCATCGCGCACCAAGGTATATATATACGCGTTTCTAACAAATGGTATTTCAAAACCAGGAATACCGTAACCCCCAGATATTTGGAATCAAGAGGACCTCCAAAACGCCGTTTTGTCCCACCAGAGCTATGCAATAAATCAAGTATAAATCAAGTCGACATTTCACAATTATCCAATGGCCGCTTCACCCTGAACGTCCCCGGACGTTTCAGTCATCGTCCATGTTCTTCCTCTTGGTCGTTTTCTTCTGTTTGCCCTTGCCCTCTCCCTCCACAAAGTGGCCCTTCTCAATCTGGTGTTGCCTCAGATTATCTGGCCGGTTCTTATAGGCACTGGTACAACCCGGATATGTGCACCGGTAGATCTTGGGCGGCTCTGTCGAGTGCTGCAGCTTTTTATGTTTGGCCATTGAGCCTTTGAACCATTGGGGATCGCCTTTGGGCCGGTAGCCACAAATTTCGCAGCAGTCATTGGCCTCCGCTTTCTGTTCCGAGGGTCCTGCTTCCGCTGCTTGTTTTGGAGGCAAATAATCCTCGCCGTGTGATATTGACACTGTTGGAAGAATGTGGCTCGATGTCTGGGGCAGATATTCTTGCTCGGCAGCGGATGTAGCATCTCTGTTCACCATGGTGTTTTCTACGTCGACATCTTTTCCTTGTACGCTTTGTGGAGGGTCGTCCTGGGTGCAGTGTGAGTGCTTGTCTGATGTCTTGACTGATTCTGATGTTTGCGCCATGGACTCCATAATGGGATTAGATGTCCCGTCGAGCGCCGACTCGAGCAAGCTATCCACAAAGTCGCTGCTATCCAAATCCTTCAGAAAATCTGCCAACGGGTCCTCGGGGAAACTGTAGTCTAGGCCATTTTCTTCAATGGCCGTCGATGGGTCGAGACTTGGCAACAGATTGGTTGGCGATTCAATATTTCGTACCATACTTTCGACCAAGGCAGTCGCTAGCGTGTGGTACCTCGACCTTGGATTCGAACTTTGCTGGGAGTATAGAGGATCGCAGAGGCGCCTGACCTCGGGAACATATTCGTCGAAGAGTTCTGGCGAATGCAAGGTAGTTTTGCCTACTTGGAGCAACTCGAGCTCCATCCGCCGGACGCTGGTGATGAAGCCATTGGCCACCTTCTGGCTGATAGACCGTAGCTTGGGAATCAGGCTGCTGCTGAGAGGCCCGAAACGTTGGCTGAGCATTTGCACGACATAGTTGACAGTGATCTTGAATGCGTCAGGTGTTGGCTCGCTGCCAGGTCCGGTTTCAGCAACATGAGTCGAATAGAGCTCAGATGTCATCACTTCTATAGACTGGTGATTGTTGATTCCAACAAGTGTAGAAGTTTCGAGATCTGTGGTTGGGTCAGTCATCTGTATAAATGTCAAGATTTTCAGCTATCTTGAGATATGAGGCTTGTGCATGTCCGGGCTCCTTCAGCCGTACATTGTATGGCATGATAAACAAAGCTGACAGCGAGCCAAGCCGTGATTGGATCTCATACTGGTGACATAGCAGATTGAGAGACAGTAGAAGTTTACTCACCATCAAGGAAGTTCTGGGCTACCCCAATTAAGGGATCTAGGCTGAAGGGGAGAGTCAAATTGGCCCGCAACTCTGGACCCTTTCCCTTCAGGCTAGACGAGCGGCCCAGCACGCTCTTGGTCTCTTCCAGCTCTGATGGTTCCCAAATCGCCGCTACGATAGCAGCATAAGCCGAACGATCCGATGCTGATACAAAATTGCGATATGCTAGAGCCTGCTTGAACAGTTTATTCATGTGCGTTGCTGCTTCTTCCTCATGTATGACGACGGTGAAGGCATATACGACGTGAATAAAGCACAAATAATCGATCGGGTCTGTCGGATCAACACCGTTCAATATGCCCTTGAGACTTGCCAAGCCTTTCAAAATGATATCTTTTGCCGAAATATTCTCCAGTCGTCGAGCTAAATTGTTGTCGACAGTTCGGGTATTGGGTAAAGAGTAAGACAGTTGTTGCTGAAGTGCATGCCAAGTATCGGTGATGAGTGTCCTCGTGTCAGAGTTGAATGGCGCTGCTCCATTTTCTTGGTCGGTGTTGTTCTCGGTAAAAACGACGTTGACTTCGGTATCGATTGTCGAGGGCCACGAATAGTCCTCCTTAGGTCCGAACGTGAAGAGCAGCGGATCATGAACCCAGTCCTTGGACAAGGTCATTCCTATCGGGTCATCGCCAGGCAGCTCGGGCAAATCTCCAAGAGCAAAGTTGTTATCCGTGTTGCACAAATCAATGTTCTTCATTGCAGTTTGTCTATCCGGTTCGGTATTCCAGCTAGAGCAGAAGGACGGAAGCGGGAAGTCTTTTGGGAACTTGCAACTATTCTCGCGAGAAAGCGAGCTCGACTCAATATCGGCACTGAAAGGAGTGATGGGCGATGCCAGAGTTGTGTCAATGGTTGATGAATTGGTCGTCCAGCTCGCCGAACCAGCACTGATTGGGGATATGATACCATGGGAGCTGTTCGCCGACCTCAGGGATGAGCTCGGAGAGAGGTAACTGGTTCGTGGGACCTTGCTTGGTCGTCCCATGTTGTTGGTATCCAGTGTGAGCGATGGTCGGCGTCCGTCACTGTCTTGAAGGCTTCGTATGTCGTGCCGTGGCGGTGGTATCAGAAATGGCGAGGCCGCTGGCACAAATGTGTTTGTTTCTTGAGTCTGCGGCGGCGGCGGCGGCGGCGGCGGCACATTGAAGTGCCCTTCATAATTCACGGATCCCAGTTCGAGGGGTAGCACTGCCTCCATCTCACAGACTGGATTTCCACTGATTTCCGACTCGATTGGCAACTGTGGTTCTTGCTCCATGCTGAGGGAATCGTAACTCGGGGGAGGTGGGATCGCGAAATCGACCTGGGTAAGCTCGACAGAGACATCTCTCCGGGACTTGTGGCCGAGAGTCGAAAAGACCTTCTTTGCCGCATTGATGATTCGTCTTCGTTTTGTTTTGTGACTGAGGCAACATTTGCATTTACCGTCGTTGAACTTCTCGACTTTCATGCAATCATAGCATAGGTACTCTCCCGCTGAGAGGTGCTTACAGGCATGTAGATGCTGCAGCATGGTCTCGTGATCATTGAATTGCTCACCACATCTCAACAAAGGGCACCGCAACCTGTCACTGGGGGCCATTCGTACGGATCTGTTGCGTTTTACCGCAGCCCAGACGATGAAGCGCTGCTTTGCACAATCATCTTCAGATGCGAGGCGAGTTCTACTACAGGTCAATTCGGCTGTGTCGTGTCCAGGCAAAGCAATGGTCAAGGCTTACACGCATGATACCGACGATGATCTCCTTACTTCCGAGCTAACACTAGACCTTGAACTTGTTCTCAAATCAATCGAATCACGGACGTCTTGTGTCATGCGCCGTGGTGTTAAAAAGTCTTGATTGTAGATCGGGCTGTTGTCGGTGGTGGCCGGACGGACTCGAACGCCGCTGGGACTCTTCTCGGACTCCATCTCGGACTAGTGTAAACGAATATTATCACGAAGCACCAGATAAAGAAACAATGGCGGCACGATGGAGCAATCCCAACGGGATGGGTAGGTTTAAGTGGCAAATCATTCGTTGCACTATTAGATGCTGCTCATGGTGTGTCTCTCTTGAGTTATTTGCATGTCATCTTTTTGCCATGCTGCCTCCCTAGAGAGAGATAGAAGAGTGACGAGGTTCTTCTTTGCTGACTTAGGACTGACCAAAGATACATGGTACTTGGCGTAGGACTTTTGGAGGCCTGGACGCCTGATTGGTAGGTTTCCTCTGCTTCCCTGGTCGTAATGCCGGTGGTCGCGAAGGATTGGACCACAGAACGGGATTGGGGGCGGGATCTTACTCGGTAAGGTACGACAGGCAACAAGGCTGAATCTGCGGGGGTCCAAAAGTGCCTTAAGTGCCCTCCGCCCATGTGGATAAACCACCTGGACACGCTGCTTGGAGGGGAGGGATGAGGAAGGACTCTGACTTCCATCTTCGCGCAGCCCGCCAATTGGGGGGGCGCAGTGGGAGATTTGCTGACCGCGGGTTGCAGCCGCAGCAGAGAATGACAGCGGCAGCATATACAGGTAGGGGAAAATCATGAAGGAAAAGAGACCACTTGATCCGTCCTGTTTTTTTGTCCTGGATGCATCGTCCTCGGTTATAGGCGAATGTCCTGGCGGCCTCGAGGATTCTGATAATGACGATGCATCATTATGCACGTCTCAAACGACATTGCTTGCTCAAGCAGACGGGGGATTGAGATGCCGCGCACTTGATCTGAATTTCTCTTCTCGTCGTCTGATTGGGACTTACCCGCGATGCATGTTTTGGTGTTTCGAACCGACCGACAAAGATGCAAAGCAGGAACGGATTCAGTCCCTGGATCATGTAGCTATCAGGAACAAGATCTCCAAAATGATGACGGATTCGCTGGCTAAGACTAAACAACCATAATTTACTTCGTAACTGCAGCCAGTGCTCAAGCAGTCGGTGTCAGTTACAGTAAGCCAGCCGGCTTGGGCCTGAGATGCAGCACCCCTAGTAGCCGTAAAAGTAATGTAGCGCGAGAACATGTGTCTCGGAGATGGCGCAAGGCAAATGTCCTGTCTGGTCTGAGCTTCTTTTTGCGTTTCCAGATATGATCTGGTCCGTGATGATGCAGAACACGATCTGAGATTTTGGCTTGGGACATTCTCGGGTCACTGCTCCGTAGGGCTGAGAAGTAATCCGACAGCGACAACTGCTTACCTCCTTACGTACTTTGTTATATCACACAGTAGCGTTGGGAGGCTAGAACGATTCGAGTCCGTCAGTCCATGGACTCTCATGAATGACTTCGGAAGTCCTTCTACAGGCGAAAGACAGGCTGGGCGATGATGCCAAGAGAAAGCATTTTCGGAGGTGTGGTGGAGCAGAGCGTCCACGTCGACCCTTGTCGATGGGTAGGACTTTTTGGTCATCTTTCGGCAGTCATTTCGTGGTGTGGGCACGGCGGATAGCCTGCCGAGAGACCTCTAGGACCGCCGCCGTGCGACCTGGCGACCCAGATATGAGTATGCGATGGCGGTAGCAGCAGCTTGAGGAAAGTCCAGGGTCTTCGCTGCATACACTTGCAACAATCATCCAAGAAGAACTTGTTTCTTCCAGAAAGAGTTGAAACATATCGTGCTCGATTCTACCGCGGCACATTCTGCGTATATACTTCGGTGTAGTTTCCACAGAGCAGCACGTAGGTGTTTTCTTTCCTTTCTTCTTCTTCCTCCTCCTCCTCCTCTTCTTCTGGCTTAATATTATCATTATTGACACCGGCTAGCGCGCTTTCGCAGTTATTTGACGTCGAATAATATTCTTACTGTACACACAGGTAGGTTGGTAATGGGGTTGGTCATAGGTAATCTAGTGATTTTGGATAGCCAACCTCCACCATCGCGCATGAAACTTCAGCAATAGGCGAGCCAGCTTGGACCACGCCAAGACTTATAATACATCAACTATAAGATTCAAAGGCACGACTGGAGAGGGGAAAAGATATCAATCAAATCTGTCGAAGCAGTCTTGTTCACTGACAGGTGTCAAGTCAAATGGGGGCATGCATCACAGAAACAAACATGCTGCGACGATATGCCCTCACTACGTGATCGCACGGGATGTGTGTCTTATTCGCACGAGGTCGAACAAGATTAGGAGAGCGTGGGAATAATAAGATACGCCGACGTCAACTCGCAGAGAACCGTACTCTGAAGCGTAACATTCCGTAAGACGCCAACTTTAAACCCCCCCCCCCCCCCCCCCCACTGAACTTCCCACTCGCACTCGTCGTTCTACGTAGCATTCCCGAATCGGCGGGCCATTGTGGTAGCTTTCTGCCACTCTCCGTGTCATCCGCAGCTTATCAATTTCGGACCCGAGCCAACCAAACGGTGAGCTCTCAGTGGCATGGTTGCGGACGTGGAAAGATGATGGAGGGAACGGCCTGCCCGTTGAATGGCACCGTCCACGGGGATCACCAATGACAGGCCTCTGAATCGCGATGAGTTGCATGCATGCTAATATAGCGGGCTTGTCGATGCACTGCTTTTGGGTTTCAAAAAGCAGCACAGAGCGAGTGCCGCCGTTTCTGACTTGGGGCGGATAAATGTGAATAGGATATGATGCAAGAATCAAAGAAAGATCATCTTCTACGTACCGACCATGACCTAGTTTGGATATATACCGACTCGCACATTCGTCCATTCGCGCGCGTGCAACGAGTATACTCCAGTGTTCAGAATCCAAAGAAGCAATAGAAAAGACTGATGAACTGCACTCGCAAATCCATGCCTCTCTCTTCTCACCCCAATCAGGTCGGGTTTCACCCCTCCCCCATGTAACCAAGAACTCGCTAGTTCACATGTTGGCCCAGCAATCCCCGTTTTCTATTGAAAAACGCTCTGTCTCTAACATTCATCATTCTCACGAGATCTGCGCAATTCACTTCTCGTCTCGCCTCAATCCGTTGCAAGTGCATGTGCGGTGTAGGCAAAAGTATTTTCGTACTATAGTTGAGGGTCCCCTTCAATCGTCGCTACAGGATGGAACCCAAGTGGTGCCCGCAGAAAGCTTGACGAGCCCTCGAGTTTCAGATTTACGTAGACTGACGCCCTCGGACGGTGATCCATTGGCTGACCCAAGTGAACTTGTTCCCCCGTATGCACCTCACTTGCCTCAGATCAGAATCCCAAAGCTTTTTCGACCAGGGGATGGTGGGAACGTGGGGACTGTGTGCTACTACCTACAAGACCTATGTACTTTTCAGTGGGAGATGCCCCCATACAGAATAACATAACCAACCAGTTATAGGCGGCGTGGGAATTTAGGAAGCATATCCCAGGCCAGGGATTCGAATGCTACTTGACTTTACTGCGTACCAGCTAGTAGTAGTGGGCCAAGCGTCAGCTCTTCTGTTCTCAAGCTTCCTGTCTCGTCGTCTCAATTATACCCCACCGGCCGTTTTGGGGCATGAGCATTCGCAAGACTTTGGGAATGTGATCAACGAGTAGCGCGACAATGCAAACCAGGGTGGTTGGCTCGTTTCGTTCGGTTGGCTCAACTCGTCAAGTCAGTTCTCACCCATTTTTTTTTTCCTTCTCTACCGTACCGTACCGCACTGCACAACGGTCAACCAGTCTTCTCTCGTCTCCCCCGTTCTCGAAACGAAGCGGCGTCGTAGCTCCATATAGACTGGAACAGATTCACACCTCAAAAGACGAATTTTAGTCTGGAGTTGTCTGAACTAGACTACTGCTGCAGCAACACGGGGTAATGTAGTATGTAGATCAGAACAGGCGTCTGGTTGACATGGTACATGACAAACCAGCTGGGCCGACCGTTGACTCCATCTGGTATGGACCAAGACGCGGACCAGAATCTATCTCCTGAGCTTTTTTTCACACCCGGGTTCTGGAGAAAGAAAGAAAGGGCCCAGACCACTATCATGGCAGACAAACAGGCTATAGGCAGCACATGATGGCCAGAACAGCCAGACTCGTGAAGCCAACAAATCTGTTGCAAGCACATGCAGAGATAGCGAGATACTGCTCCCCTGTTGTTGGCTTGTTGTGGCGTCCATCTATCAGACGGTGGGCGATACTATTCGTCTGTAGACATGTCTGGGCAGGTCTTATCAGATAAACCAGCAGCACCAAGCAGAGAGCGTGCTCCCGTCGCAGGATGGCATCTTGATCCCTCGAGCTACTGTGATAGGTACGGAAGCTTGAAACATACAAGAAAAAAAAAGAAGGGGGTGGTAAGTATTTCCCCGGCCAAGATCGCTCGGAGCACATCGACTTCTTGGGGGTGTGAGAGCAGCAAAAGAATGCATAATTCGAGACTGATATCGTCCATCCAAATGGCTCGGCACATGCTCTGTGGTTGGTTCCATCCGATTTTTTCCAATTTTTTCCTCATCATTATTAGTTCGTTCCTCCTCTTGCTGCTCTACCCATGCCTTGGACCCAACCGTTTGCGATCAAATGTGAAGTGATCTGCCCTATGTCCACCCTCGAACATGCTCCCGGAGGACCCTCTTATGCTGTCGATCAAGCCTCTCCCATGGTTCTCTATTCTCATTTGAACCCGAGCAAAGCCCACCCTCTCTCCCCGTTGTGTCGTCATCCTCTTTACCATCTTTATTTTATTTCCTCTTGTCTTCGAAATTCTTAATCTCGCACTTTTGGTCACTGCCCAATCCGCGTGATTTCTCTGTTTCTGAACGAATGAGGGAATTCGAAGAGTAATAGTTCGAGTTTGGCGTCTCGTGAGCCTCAGAGTCTCATCCGGAAGATTTCTCAACTTTCCAGGGTCCAGTCACGGCCAGAACCAGCCCCTCCCCAGCTTATTAGGACGTACACTTTTTTTTTTTCTTCCTGCTGGGGCCACGCACCGGCTCATTAAACACGACCATTGACGCTTGTCCGGGCTTGGACAACCTCGAACAATTTTTTTTCTTGCTCTTCCTTCGCGGCCTATATCCACTATAAGGCAGACGCTACCCAAGCAACTGTTGCTTATTTATTGAATCGCAAATCCCCATATCTTTTCTGCAGGCCTTGTCTCGCTCCAAAACCGCAGCGCTGGCCGCCCATACAAGATGCAGACAGCGAGCACGTGGGTACCACGCGAGCTGGACCTGAGCCATTATGGCCACGGCCACGACAATTATGTGGACAAGATCAATATCAATGTCGTGCCGGGTTTGAAGACTAGCACTGGTGAGTTTGTTTGATATTGTTCGCTGCAAAAATCTTCTTTCCTACACCATCTTCCTTCTTTTCAACTCCTTGGCATTCGCTATACTTTATAGTGTTGTCGCATCGCATCATTCTTTTTTCGCCCTCCTGCTGCAACGTTGTCAGCGTAGCGTACTTTTAAGCCTCCAACCGTATTAGTGGGGGGTGTAAGTCGCATCGTGAAGTCACACACACACACACCGGGCAAGTGTTGGGAGGTTTTCCAGCAATAGGATTATTTGGGTTGGAAAAGCAACATCTTGGGGTAGCCCATCGGTGGTCAGCAATTGCAACACCGAGACACGCCAAATTGCGGGTAGCCGCCAAGTTACCACCACATTGGCCATCAGCCCTGTAAATCAGTCCAGTCAGTACCGTGGTTTTCAACGAAACCTACCAAACTCTAAAAATCACCCACGTATTCTGGAGCATACCATGCATGGCAAAACACTTTGCGATTTTGCAAGAGCTCGTCGCTAACCAACCTCTCACAATGTAGCCTTTTTCACATTTCTGCGGGCAAACCTGAACGTCAACCCCAGCGCCTACTCCTCAAATACCAACACGCCGCTACTGCAGCCAACGTCACCACCAGCGACGCTGCCACCCCCGTCGCCTTCACCACTCGTCACCATGGACACAGCCGCAGCCGCACCAGCAGTAGCGCCGCCCGCTGCGCTCTCCTCGTCCTCGGCGTCGCAGTCGAACGGTATTCACCTCGAGCCCGTACCCGACGACCTACCGCCGCTGTCAGTCGGCATCCTGACGTCCGAGACGGACAAGGTCGATGCTCTGAACCTCGTGACGGACTCAATCGCACAGCAGCGCCAGTCGAGCTCGCGCAACCTCGTTTTCCACCCGTACCTGCTCCCGGCGCTCGCGGCAGCCCTGGCCCTGGCGTTCCAGTACTCGTGGCGCATGCGACGCGACCTCGGCATGGCGCTGATGCTGCACTCGGGCGTCATCATGACCTATCTACTCGCGATTCGGTACCTGACGGGGCGCTACATCAGCGTGGCCGAGTCAATGCGCTGGGACTGGATGGTATCCGAAGACGGCGAGGAGGACACGGTGGTGGGCGTGCGCTTTGGGCGCGAGGTCATTGGCGCCCTGGTCCTGCGGCTCGAGGCCGCCTCCAATCCGACAGGCCGCAAGCGCACGCGCGCCTCGGCCCTCCGCGGCGGCAAGGGCGTCATCCGCGCCTGGACCGTCAAGCTGCGCTTCCGTGGCAAAGGCGTCGGCACCGACATGCTGCAGGAGGCCATTCGCATCACCAAAGAAAAGTGTGGCCGCGACGCCGCCGTCGGCTTTGCCAAGGAGCACGCCAACAGTGCTGACGTGCTACCCGAGGCCCTGAACGGGCAGATGAGGAAGGACGAGCAGAGAGCGGCCAAGACCCTCGAGAGGATAGTGCATGAATGGGAGGATGCGCGGCGGCACAAGAGGGGAAACTCGAGGTAGACAGAAAGAGAAGAAGCTTGGATTATCCAAGACCTTTGTTCTCGTCATACCACTCCATCCGTCTTTCGCTTTGCATATATATAGGGGGGACATTTGGATATAATAATTGCTGTTCTTTCTGGCGCAGATTTGGTTAAGGTTACCTAAATTACAGCGGTCATAGGTTAGATGGCTGGGCGGTCGATACCCTCGTTTCTTCGTTTAGGAAATAAATTGGTTCATGGCTCACCACAAGTAATTCTGATCAAGAGGTCTCGATGCACCTACCAATACCCAGAGCAAGGACATGGATTTCGTTGCGTGATGACCAGTATCAAAGGTAAAGATAGTGAGTGTGATATATGTTGTTGGTTTTTATTTGGGGTATCCATCCATTTCGCAACTTTTGCATGAAATATTATTTCCTACCATGTACACAAAGCTTGTCAACCAATTACACCTGTAAAGAAAAAAACAACGCCACATTTCGTCATGAACATAAGTAAACAGTTGCAATTTTCATCGCTTCTTGGCAGCGGAACGGTGATCTGTGCTGCTGTCGAACCCATAAATGGGTGTTCCCCTTCTTCTAAGGGCGTGAATGACCTATGCCAGTGTGAGTTGAAGGATCGGAACTAGACAGGCTCTGCATGGCATATGACTTACGTCGGTGGTGGTGACGGTCTTTGCCTGGCGATACTCGGTGTAAAGGACTACATCTCGCAAGACCTGGATCGATATTAGCATCAAACACTTCAACCCATTGATATACAAGTACAAAGCATGAGGGATCTGTCAACTTACGCTTTCCAGGTAACCCTTGAGAACACCTCTGACTTCCTCGTAGATGCCGCCAGAGATGCGTTTCACACCTCCACGTCTAGCCAATCGTCTGCATGTGCTTCATTAGCACGAGGCAAAGAAGGAGCACAAGGTAGTGGATGTCTGTCCAATGCGGGTAGCTGCACAAACCCTAGCCCACTTCTTTGTCCAAAAAAAGAAGAATATGTTGAAGTCATGCCAGGAGCGCCTTGCATCCATGCCAGGCGCTCATGGCAGAGACATATGGCAGCCAGGTTTCTCATGGTCTTGCCCTTGCAATAATGGGGAAAGCTCGGGGATTAATGCTTACCGGATGGAACCCTTTGTCACGCCCTGAATATTATCCCGAAGAATCTTGCTATAGAAGTGGTCAATAACTTTACCGGCAAGATGATGCATGTAGTATAATGAGCTTACCGATGCCGCTTTGCGCCGCTTTTGCCGCCTAGGCCCAAGGATGCCTTTCCGCGGCCTGAGGACGAGAAACCTGACTTCCCGGCCATGGTGGATTGTGGTTGTTGCTGTTGTAGTTGGTGGCTTCAGGAGCTGTCGAACTCTCAATGCATTTCCCAAAAAGAGTCGCAGTAGTTGCCAACCACAAAAGTGGTCCACCGTCTGGGACAGTTGCGACGCTTGCGACAACACTGAGTTTCAACGCGGGTTTGGCTTTGGGGGGTGGGGGTGAGGCTTTGGAGGCAAGCGTGCAAACGTTATCAGATAAGACCTAAATAGTCGCGCTAGAACACGAAAGCATGTGCTTTTGCCCTCTCCACTGAAAAGAGTGGCGCACGCAGCAGGTCAACCTAGTGTAGGTCGAGCGTTAATCGTAGCAGTGGTTGAGTGGCTGGTCGCGTGGAATTCTCATGAATGATGAGACTACAGCCTGAGCGTCGCCAGCAAGTTTAGGTCCAAGAAATTGTGTAGTCTTTGAAAAAAGAAGTTGAAAGGAGAAGATCAGATTGTGGTCGAGGGTATTCTTCAAATTCGCACCTTCGGCTTGCATTCTCACATATGCAGGCAGGCAGGTGCATCACTGTGCTGAACAGCAGGCAAAGGACTGCACATGTGTGCACACCCATGTGAGTTCAACATTTTGTGTCTTCAATTTGCAAGGAATAGCAGAGTACCTGCCTGTCAACAACCCAAAGTGACACGCCATCATATATAAGCGTCATGTTCATTAAAAAGATGTATCAAAAGCGGCCGCCTTCTAGGTAATATAGATCCCCCCTTCCAGTGATCCAAACATATTCCGATGCGAGCATCTTATTAGTCCCAGAGACCTCTGCCAACGCACATGCCCATTATTCAATGTCATCTTTTCACATCTAATGGTAGGATCGGCCAAACTAGTAGAATTGGTATCATGCCGACGTGATTTATCGAAGAATCTGCCACACTATCACTTGCTGTTCATGTCAGTCGAGTGCTGAAGTTGCAACCTTCTCCGCCGAAGCGACGTGCGGTCAATCTAAGACTGCGAAGCGGCTAAAATGGGTCTTGAATTAGTAACATTGACCCCCAGATCAATCAGCCAAATTGGGGCGTAATATTCGACTTACCGGCATCGGTAGCAGAAATGAATGTTGCTTCACTAAAGGTCTTGCCCTGCTCTGTGATCGTCTCTTCGCCGATCTTCAGCTGCAACGTGAAGTTGGGAGGAGCAAACTGGGATATTTTAGCTAAATGAACAAGACAGAGGGAAAGTCAAAAAAAAGTAGCCATGGAAAAAAATTACCTGGTAAATGTAAGGCTTGGTGCCTGCAGCACCAGCAACAATCTTCTTGACGAATGCAGGTACTTCGGCCATGACATCCACACGGTCCAGACGCTGCTCAAATGGTCCCTCGATAACAGCTTCAACAGGCTTGCCGTCTTTGGTCTTGCCTGACCAGGTGAACTTGACCTTCTTGGGCTCAGGCCACTCGTTGTCGGAATCTGACTTGGTCTCGAGGTGAACCGCGTCGCAGTCCGAGCCAGCAATGATGATCTCACCGTCCTTGGCGATACCACCCACGGCGACGCTGGTGGTGCCATACGATGGTGGGGTCGTGAACTGCATCAGCACGGCCGAGTAGGTCGGTCCTTGGAAGTCGAGGAAGTTCCACTTGGCAGCAGCGTGGTGAGGCTTCATGCCTTGTAGGGCGTGAGCAAAGAAGGCCTGTCCCTTGAAGTCGATGGGGCCATCCTTGGTCATCATGCTGCCTTCAGCGACACAACGGGGCCAGAATGCGTGTCTCATGGAACCCCAGGGGTTCTTCAGGTCTGTACCGTACAGTGTCTTTCCGTCCTTGCCGGCCACGAAACCGGGGGCCACCTTGGTGATCTTTAGATTGACAATACAGCGCTGATCGTTCATAGACTTGATCGTGTAGGTGTTGCCGTCCTCCGAGAGCTCAACGGCACAGTCCTTGGCATAAAAGTTGAGCTTGTCATCGCTGAACTCGTGGTCGTTCAGAGGGTTGGAGCACCACAGGTGAGGCTTTGAGTTGTCAAGGTAGGAGATCTTGGAGTTGAACTGGACCGTGGTCTTAATGCCGCTGTAGGTCGTGTTAGTTAGCTGATGCCACTTTGTTTGAAGCTGCCAGCGACAAGCAGAAAAGGAAAGCATACGTACGCAACGTTACTATAGATGACCTGGGCAAGACCGAGATATCCGCTGTCAGACATGAGGTAGAAACTCTGTGTCTCGACAGAGGTGGACTCCATGACGGCCCATTTCAGGTCCTCCTTCTTCAGCTCCGTGTAGGGCGTGACCTTGGCATCTTCGGCGACCGACTTGATAGCAGATGGGCCATAGATGGGCTCCTCGGTGCCAACGACGTTGGCTAAACTTCACGGGGAGAGAAAATGTCAGTTTATGGTTTTCTGCGTGTGCTTGCTGTTGGTACCCTGGCAGCCCTGCAAGCAAGACATGGCGGGGCACGGGAGAGGGACGGTATGACGTTTTGCGCCAACGTACGTCTGTTTAGCCCAGTTGAACATTTTCTCGAACTTGAAGGGACAGTCTGTGCTTCTAAAATAGAGTAGAAAAGACCAAAGTTGTCAGTGAAAGAAGAGAAAAGTGAGAGAAAGTCTTTGTAGGATTGTAAATGAAAGGCGGTGATGTCGAGAGTCGATCGCTGCGGCGGGCGTATCTCTATTGGCAGGGTCCGGTTCTTTTGGCCTTAAATTAGTACGAACAGCGAATCACGATGGCGGGACGAAAAATGGTGAACTCCAGTTGTCGATGCAGGACATAAAAAAAAACGGCCCCAGTGGACGACTGGCTGCTGGCTTGGAGGCTTGCGGCGCTGGGGGGGCGTCAGTGTGACGGCGGATGGGCCCTCTGACCAAGCCTGCAGTGCCAAATCTGGTCCCGAAAGTCATGTTCCAGCGCCTGGCGGCTACAGAGTGAGCAGGGGATACCGCGATGGATGGTTCCACTTATTGGTGATCTTTTTGGAGAAAGCCTGGCAGCTGCATTACAGGTGGTTTTATTAGCGTCAAAATTTCCCAGAGAGATGCGATGCGCTTCTGAAGCTCAGGACTTCAATTCGAACTGCCAACACTGCGGTACAGCCATCTCCAGCTTCAATTGACTGTTTAGTTGTTGCCAAATCGCCAGGTACGATCGAATAAGTTGCAATAACTCACCAGACACCATGTCGAAAAGAGGAGCCGCCGCTGGTGCGGATCAAATCGTCAAGCTCATCGTAGGAGCTGGTCAAGCATCTCCCAGTCCGCCCGTCGGTCCTGCGCTTGGTAGTAAGGGTGTGAAGTCGATGGACTTTTGCAAAGTGAGCACATTTTACTTCGGGATGCTACTGCAAAAGCGTCGCTGACAGTGTCGAATAGGAATTCAATGCGCGCACACAACACATCCTACCTGGCACACCAATGCCCACGCGAGTCACTGTACGAGCAGACAGATCATTCCACTTTGATATCCGGACACCACATACCTCATGGCTTCTGAGAAACGCAGCAGAAATCCCGATTGGAAAGAAGGGCAAGAGAAAGGGCGCTTCCAAGCCCGGCCACGAGGTGGTTGGCACCGTCACACTGAAGCACGTCTACGAGATCGCCAAGATCAAGCAAACAGAGCTGAGATTATCAGGCCTGTCACTAGAGGGTCTCTGCAAGTCAATCATTTACCAGGCGAAATCGATAGGCCTTGCCGTGGTGGCATAATAGGATACCGGGACGAGCGCAGCCATTTTGGAGGGCAAGGCAGCCAACGGCAGAGTGGCTGATGTACGTTATATGTGACAACAAAGGGTACAAAAGATCCATTAGACGTAAATCCAGGGCAAAATGATGCTCTGGTCGACCAGGTTTGGTCGTACTTGGTGAAACAATGGTGTAAGATATTTGCGATACGGACTATCACCATACTCTATTCAGCAAAAGCAGCTTGCGAGATGTATTTGTCAAGTCGCCTTGGGAGATGACGCATATTTGACATTTACAAGCAAGGTGATTTCTCACTTGGTCGATTCAGTATGAGCATATGAATATATGAGGGCTGATGAAGCAATCTGTACGTAATGTCCAGTGGTGAGTTATACAGTCGCCGGGCTACAATTGTGACCATTGAGGCTCATATTAAATCAAACATTACTTCCGGGAAGAATTTTCCTATTCATCAGGGTAGACACCTGGATATACTGGGTGGGCATGTTTGAATATGAAATTCCTCTCTCTTGGTGTGAACTTTACATGACAATGACAATTATTCACTTGGTCGATAGCTACATCCCAATTGCGAATAATTCATACGCCCAAGACACAAATTGCTGGGTACAATTTTACCTATCGGCCACTACGGGTATATGAAAATGTGAAAAACATAAAGCGCGAAACCTTGATGTGCTTGACCCATCGTCTTGAATCAAGGCACTAGTAGCATCACTTATTGCAATTTGCGTTTTGCCGAGGAAAAGTTGAAACCCAATCTCTGTAAACAGACTCTTCATGTGTCCCTTTACGATGTGCCTTGTGTCATCAAGAGAGCAAACTCATCATCTAGGGCGTGTTAGCGACGGGCCAGAAATGGACAGCAATCGGCGACGTACAGTCAATGGCGCCGTTTCCATCCTTGTCCGCCGACTGGATCATCTCGTCGATCTGCTCGTCCGTCAAGTTCTCGCCCAGCGAGGTTAGCACGTTGCGCAGCTCGGCGGCGGAGATGGTGCCGCTGTTGTCGCGGTCAAAGACCTTGAACGCCTCGCGGAGCTCCTTTTCAGCGTCGCTGGGCTCGACCTTGTGCGACATCATGGTGAGGAATTCTGAGCGGGGTCAGCCAAAAACTTTTGTTCTGTAACAATTTGCGATGCCTCAAGTCAGGTCACCATTGAAGTCGATGGAGCCGTTCTGGTCGACGTCGACCTCGTCCACCATGTCTTTGAGCTCGGCGTCACTTGGACTCAGACCCAGCTCTCTCATCACCTCGCCGAGCTCGGCGGCAGTGATATCACCTGCACTCGTCAGCCGCAGTCCAGAACATCTCATGTGCGTACGATATTCACAGACCAGTCTTGTCTTTATCCTGAGATGTGACTGTCAGCTTCCATGGAGTGAGAGAATGTTTTGGCCAGACCGCGAGCAACTTACAAAAAGATCGAATGCGAGCTTGAACTGCTCGATTTGCTCTTCGGTCAAGGCTGAAGCCTTATGACGGCATTAGCAAACTTTGCCACATCGTTTCTGTGCAAGAACCAACCATGTTTTCTTCTTTTGTAGATAGATGATATTATTTTCAGTCGGAACTTGCGTTGTTATTTTCCTCAGAAAAAAGTCTTTGGATATGCTGCAGGCGTTGGAGATATTGTTGTTGTTGTTGCTTCTTGTCGTCGGATGGATTTGCCAGTTAGACAATGGAGAGGGGCTAAGAGACATTGCGAAACGACCATGATTGGAGATTTATGCCAAAGAAAAAGACTAAACCGAAAAAGGGGCAGAAACCTGCTATAGTTTTCTTCGATGTAGCCTATTCTAGTAATTTGGTGATCACTACGGGGCGGCGAGGCGTGAGCTTTTTGAGCAGGGCGATATCTCTCCACCCTCGTGCCGTTCTGCCGGGCTAACGGCGATTCAAGATTCTAGAATGTGGAATGTCACTTCAAATTATGATGAGTCCGCTCCGTTCATGATGAAGTTTTATGCATCAGGATGATCAGCATATTGGATATAGCTACATGTCACTGAGAGCGAGAAAATAGAGGCTTGAAATGTGTTATTTCTGGTTGCCTACTGAATTTTATTTTATCTTCGGTCAGGCAGGACGCCATAAGAAATTGTAGCGGCAACCTAAATGACGACACACCCTCCCCGTAGCACAAACGAAAAGCGAGGACATGGTAGAAATACCATGAATACTATCTCGCATTTCCCCGTCATGCAATTGAAATTTCACTGACGACCTGTTTGTTCCAAAAAGAGAAAAGAAAAAAAAATTGTGGTTGTCAACGTTAGCAATTACCAACTACCTGCCTCGGCGCTCCGAGCCTGTAGTTCCGTGCGATGTTGATACTGCCTCGGCCCTCATTGCGTATAGACCATATTGCACATAAAAATGGGACACTCTGATAATGTTGCAATCATCATACAGGACTCACTAAGTATGTACGACAAGAGGTGGCATTTCTCTGTCACACGTACTTACATATATTTCACTTTTATATAAAATCGTACACTGTGACTTCAATTTATAGTTGTCGTCGACTTCCACCTGACTAGCTCTGTTAGGCACCTATGAATTGATTATCAAATTACGCTGTTTGATTCGCAAAATCCACAAATGATATATTCAAGGAAACAAGATGAATGACTATTTTTGGAATCGGAAGTTGATGGTGATGACTCGGCTACTCCAAAAGCCATCCGAATCGCGATCGCGGCTAGAGACATTGCCCATTCTCGGCTTTAAATAGAAATGTAGAGTCTACGCGCGGCCCCTAGATAACTCCGAATAAGAAAATGATTCTTTTATCATACGCAAGCAACAACATTCTCCATCATTAAACATGTGCCACCGCTGCAGCGAGCAAAAGGGTTTGATCCTATGGGGTAGTGCCAAGCCGTCTCTTCCGTGCCGATCTCCATTGGTGGATCAAGAGGCGTTAGTATAGGCAGCGGTTCCAGTTCAAAGTTCATTTAGGGGGTCACGACACTGACGGGGGAGACCGGGTAAGCGCAACGTCGCTGATGCTTAGCCGTCTGGTTCGGCACGATGGGGGAGCTGGAGACTCGACGTATGGGTGTTGACGAGAGTACTCTGATTACGACTTGTTCCCACAGCGGGTGCTACGGTTGCCCAAGGTTGTGTGCCCCCAAGGGTGTGGCCGATCCCAAGTGCTCCCTTTTTACTCATGGTCTACTCAAACTTTCGAGTTGATATTTAACCCCAGAGTCTCTTTTCTGTGCCCAATCCGAGCACTGCCACCCAATAGTATATACTGTTTTGATAATATCTTGTCTCCCTCCTCTATGCCGATTGAGCCGTATTCCGGCCACCGACTCAAGCATCAATGGCAACCGGCGCGCCGGCCAAGAATGCCGGCCACGGCATAGCAGCACTGCCACAATCGTCAGGTAGCCGGCATGAACCTCTGCCCAATAAGGAAGCGTCCCACGTTTCTAGAAAGACTACCGATGGCTTCGGTTCCAGCTTTCCGGGACGGGACCACGTGCTTCTCGTCAAGGGCCGCCGCAGCTGGATCCTCCCTCAGGGCTGGCGGCTAGAGAACAACCTCATCCTCGGCGTGGGCTTTCTCGAGCTTGCCAATGCGGGAGACTTTGCAGCCAACATATGGAACGACATACCAGTCCCTATATACGCTGTTATACTGATGGCGATTGGTGGGACAGCCGCTGGCACCATTTCCATCTTTGCATACTTGGACTCGATCAGATCATGGCACAATATCAAGTTCCTGCGCCGACAACAAGCAATGTTTCAATCAGCACAGGCTCGGCACCTCGATGATGCACAAACCTCGCAGACTGCTCTGGGGGTCATTGAGAAGCTTACCAAGCGTGAGCTTTGGACCGAGGGGATCAGTCGTTGGGGTATGGCCGTGCTGATGGGCATTGGTGCAGTTCTCATATCCATCGGCACTTTCATGGCCATTGGAGGTGCCAATCGAACAGTTTGGCACGTCAGCAATCTTCTCTCTGGATATCTTGGAAACGCACCAATTGCACTGTTTGGCCTAATCAATGCCTCATGGCAAGTCGTCGTCTGGATAAAGATGCATCATCACAAGAACGCTGCAGCCAAGACATTGAAAGACCATCACATCAATTCTTTGATTCAGAAACGGTGCTTAAACGTCCAATTATATTCAATTGTGAATGGCACTGCCACAATCATGGGCGGAGTTGGCTCCATGCTCACACCAACATATTGGTGGGGATATGTCATTCTGATTCCAGTTATCATTTCGTCCTTTTTCTGCAATATCTGGTGGCGGAAAAAGGTTGGATACGACCGTCCCGATGTGAGCAGCACTCTAAACACTACTCCTAGTAGTCTCATAGAGGAGCTCAACATCGCTATGCGCATTAGGAAGATCATTGAGGATCATCAAGGGGACATCCTCGCCCATCTGATTCCCGAGCGCGAGAAACCGAATGACTTGATGGCTTTCCTGACGAGCCACGGGCTTTTCGAAGTATTCTGCCTAAAGCTCGTCAACAATCCGAAGATTGCTTCCCACCTTTCCGATCCCGAGACGGCACAGCTCAACATTGACGAAGAGAGCATTGCTTCGCTATGCGATTCTCACACGACAATTTTCTGGGAGACTGCAGAGGAGCTTCTCCAGGTCGAGGGGCCAAAGCATTTCCGCCATCGCCGTCGATTTTTCCTCGAATTTCTCGGCGAATTCTTAAGCTACACCTCTTAGATCCTGGAGCCGGAAATAGAATAGATCCCATAGACATGACTCTTCGTTTCGTGAGATCTGGCATCTCTAGATTTGTTGCATTTAATCTCGCAACAGACCCTCTGTATAGCTGCATAATATAATGCTCAGAAGATCCTTTTGTAATGCCTGATTTCTTGTCCACAACCGCTGAATACTGCCTTGAATAATGTTGCCTCGATCTCCTTCAGATTTTGAATGCTCTCTGCCCCGGACACTATGACATGCTCTTCAACTCCATCCCTTTCCATGGCTTCGTCCTTTTCGATCCGCCATCCGCTTTTGCTGATAGGACGTGCATTGTCACGAGAATATATCTCCTTCATAGATTGCCCAACAGTTTGTTTTCGATTCTTAGGGACAAGATATCGTGACACAGAAACCACAGGCGCCCGCAATATTTCGGGGCTGATGGCGTCCACATCATCAACGTGAAAGATGAGGAGCTTCGACATGTCGACTTGCTCACTTAGAGGAGGTATTGCTTGTTTGTTAATATCTGAGCCCATCCACTCTACATGTTGCGGAACACTCTCCCAATGCGCAGTCAAAAGGACCACTGCGGGATCTTCGATCTGCTGAAAGTCTATATGGACATGGTCAACTGTATAATTCGGCAGCATTTCTCGGGCAACCTGAGAGAAGATGAGCCGGAATAAAAGAAATGAAATGCTCACATCCAACTCCTCTGGCTTCGTTGCCATCTGACATGTATTGCGTTGTACTGGACAAGTTTTCCGCACACCACTTGTCTTGCGCATCGACTGCCCAGCGGATGAGATCGCGTAGAGCGGGCGTCAGGTCGCCAGACTTGGAGTGGAAATGGGCCAACTCGGTCACGGTCATTGTGTATTATTGTAAACTTTGAGCTAATCTAGAAATAATTGACTCTGAAGTGCATTTCCTGCTTATAAAAAAAAGAGAGGGTGATGACAGAAAGCTAAAATGCAAAAGAGTTACTCTGAAGAATTGATCAATTTGTGTGCTTTATGGAGCCTGGCTCCTACGCTAACGCAAGGCAATCGATGCCGCGTCATATGATTTTCAGATTGTCTGATGACGTGAGCACTTGTGCTGCACAGGCATCCTTTGGACGTGGCTGTGGCATCCTTTGGGTAACACGACGGGAAGGGTTATCAAGCCTGTCTATTCACACAACAATTTCGTAGATAGTGAGCATCTTTAATTTTACTCTATATTTTGGATACTGTTCGTATCAACACTGATATAGAATATCTATCCTTGACAGGATTATATATATAAAGTAAAATTAGTGGCAAATGAATGTGTTGAATGAATATAAATTAGTTGAAAAAGTCCTGGTCATATAATTGAAAAGTCTTATAGTCGTTCCGTGGCAGACAAGTTGCATCTCTACACAAAAGAAGAAACACAATGTTGAATACATGTAGATCAATCCGCTTATAGATATATATGGATCGCAAATAAATACTTTAAGGATTCTAAAGTCCCTCCAACCAATAGTCCTCAGCAACTCCTGGTACGAGCATAGTCATTTCGATTTGAGACAAAATCTACAGTCGCCTTGTTTAGCCAAATGACATTAAGAATGCGGTGTATTGGCACTTGGTGCCAGTTCTGGATATAAATATAAATATAGAGTAGATTAGTATTCGCATATCTAGCAGGATGGAAAATATACTATAAAGCACTAAGGGGATGATATAAGAGGATGGTCGTGCGAGTCGATAGTCCGACTGAACAGGATCAGTGGGTTTTGGCGTGCTGCGACCAAATTCTTACTGGCAAACCCGTCCAATAAGTGTAAAATGCAACTGGATACATAATCTCTTAGTTCACCACCTCGGAATTGTTCTCCTGCAGTAACATATGTGCCCCTCATTACATAGTATGTTGCATTGTGACGCTGAAAGAGATCGAGCGCGGCGGATTCGAAAGAGCCACTAATGCATAAACAATTCAAGACGGTAGAACAGAGATCACAATCTGTGTGCATCAGCAGAAGGATATTGTGTTCTGCGGGAATTATATCAAATCGGAGTGTCTTGTCCATTATCTACCCCATCAATTGTTTATTCAAGCAATGGTCGTTGCATCGGCACGCAATAGGGACATTGACGATTGACGCATGAGCCCCCGAAGGATAGTGGGAGCCGATGCTAAAGATGCAGACATCAAGCAAGAATGTATTACTTTTGATCGAAATAGCTGCTGTGAGATGTCACTGTTGGAGTCCGGTAATGGCGGCTTTCCTGGTTACCTTGGTGCGCAAATAAACAGTCTTCTTCTTATCTGCAAATTAGACTGGTATGTATACGTTCTCAGACTGGGACCGGTCTGGTGGGCCAATTACCTACCCACTGCATGGATCGTAGTAATTGCTTCAGAGTCACTCTGACGGCAAATGTACAGAAAGACAATGGTTGTGTTTCTCACTTGATCATCAAAAGTGATGTGTTTATATCACACATCTATTATGTAGTTGCGAAGTCACGTGGAGTACCTAGGAGTAGTTTGAGGCGATTCAAGATTCTTGTGTCAGCGAGCTGACATCAATGCCAATGGGCGGCGCCCGGAAGCGAAAGAGTGGGTCATGGGCGGCATTGACCAATGACGAATCGCTAATTTGAAGAAGCGGCAGCCTGAGGCCACGAAAAACAGTCCAAGCTCGGCTCGTGCCATTCAATTGCTCAAGATTTTGAAAAGCCTCAAAACCGCCCTGAAGCTCAACATCTCCGATCAGCACCCACCCCCAATTGACACTCCCCCCTCATCGCCATGGCGCCCCTGACCATTGCATCGCGCGCCCTCGCGCGGGAGGTTGCATCTCGATCCTTCCAGACCACCGCCGTGCGCGCCATCTCGACCTCGACTGCGCTCAATGCTGCCGGTTCCTACTCGAGCCCCTTCAAGGGCGAGCAGAAGTCCACCCAGGTCCCCGACTTCGGAAAGTACGCCTCCAAGGGCAGCTGGAACACCAACTCGCTCGTCAGCTACTTCATGGTCGGTACCATGGGTGCCATCACCGCCGCCGGTGCCAAGTCTACAGTCCAAGGTGCGTAAGCCTCGGAAATCTTCGGGTTCGGCGGACAACCCATCGAAACACTACGCAGAGGACCCCGAGCCCAGAGTTATCGCACAAGATTTGCATTGTACACCAGTCAGAACGAATCCGTCGACTTTCAAGGCCATTGTGCTTCTGAATTGCCTCCCACCCCAGACGCGGCACTTGAAAGCCGCGATTGCGCGAACCTGGGCATGACGGAAATCATCAAGTGATGGCAGCACAAACACCACGACGCCCTGCTACTATTCAGCACAAACGGGATCATCGCTAATCTAGGAATAATCTACAGAGTTCCTGAAGAACATGTCAGCATCCGCCGACGTTTTGGCCATGGCCAAGGTTGAGGTCGACTTGAACGCCATCCCTGAGGGCAAGAACGTCATCATCAAGTGGCGTGGCAAGCCCGTCTTCATCCGACACCGTACAGAATCCGAGATCGAGGAGGCCAACAAGGTCGAGGTCTCCTCATTAAGAGATCCCCAGACCGACGAGGACCGTGTCCAGAAGCCTGAGTGGTTGGTCATGTTGGGTATGTTTCATGGCCTTTTTGTGGGAAGCTTGCATCATATGGAGCAATTCTGCATTATGCATTTGGCACTTGTGTGCATTAAATGCTTGCGAATCATTTAACTAACATGTTTCACTTCAGGTGTCTGCACGCACTTGGGTTGTGTACCCATCGGCGAGGCTGGTGACTTTGGTGGTTGGTTCTGCCCTTGCCACGGTTCTCACTACGATATCTCCGGACGTATTAGGAAAGGACCTGCTCCTCTCAACCTCGAGATCCCTGCCTACGAATTCCCCGAGGAGAACAGCCTGGTGATTGGTTAAGCGTGGATTGTATGAATACTAGAACGGAGGGAGGATGGACACAACTCGACCTTTCGGTGAATAGACCTCGCGAAGAAATTGCGAGACCCGACCATTTCTTTAGACGTTCCCTGGCGTCCGCCAATCCTGTACAAAAGAGAATATTGGAAAAATCAGCGCTGGTTTTCATGTGAATGTGGCAGTATGTTCGGCTACATACACCTTGTGCAATTTTCGAAAGCGACAATATTCTTGGATCCCAATTGATAACTACAACTCAAGCAGATGCAGCATGATTCAGACTTATTCCTTGTCTCTTAACTAATCGACACCAGGGGCATTTCAAAGCGATCCGGCACAAGAACTCGAGACACAACCGGACCAGAAACACGGAATAAGCGGTTGATATCGTGTCCCAATTCAGCGAATCAGACACTTGAGCCGCATGAAAGCGACTGCCTCAACCGCACAACTTACATCATGACCCCTGAGGGTTCATTGATCATGTCCGATGGACAGTGGAATGTTTATGGTCGGCAAGCATTCCATCCACGGCGGCTGGCAAGTACTTTGGTCATTTGCATTGATCGCAGGCAAAATGAGCAATGCCCGATATCGCATGAGTTGAGGATCTTGGTTCCTGCCTTACCTCTTGATCAACCGTGGGATCATCTGTTTGACAAATTGTAATGTCGGTTGGACTAACCGTCTCGTGTCGTATCTGGATTCTGATTCACAAATGCCAGAATGGCAGGACGTTTGGCAGTGATAAACATTTTCAATTCCATGATTTTGCCGTAATCATCATCGAGGCGGTATTGATCGGCAGCATCGATCCCCCTTTCACCAAGCTCAAACCTGTATCCAGGGCGCATGTATATATGTCCCATCTCAAGTCTCGTACAACCATGATCGACATTTGAGTTCATCGCGCCATACCAGCGGCAGTCATACGAAAAAACGGGAAACATGCTTCCATTGGTGGTAATAATGAGACGATTGACTTGCCATCTGAAGTTGAGCGCGTGGCTTGCTACGACAACCTGGCAGCCATCCGGAATTCGGTCGTCTGAGCGACTGCAGTAGCAGCTATCGTGACGGGGGGGTAAACATGCTCTCGCTTGTACCTAGGTGCTGTGCAGATTATTTTTACAAGCATTCAAGGCGCATGCGACATACCTATCTCGGTACTAGGTATTAGCCAGACCTGTCATGGGTCGAGAAGAAAACCAACCATCTTTGCTTCTCGCAACGACTCAGAACAACGTTGAGATTAAACTTATGGAGTTTGAGGAAATCTCCGAGATCCCTGTTGGACGGGGTGGTATGTTGAGAAATGCCCCCCTGGTGCATGGGCCATCTTCACCCCATTGGCGGCAATTGCGCCCGCCAAGGTGCTTGCGGCTCAAGAAATCTGAGACGGGATCTGTCGGATGCGCAGTCTCATCTCATCTTCAGACTCAAAACACCAAAGGTGGACTCCAGGCACGATACTGGGCACAGTGCGTCTTGACTAAGGGTTCCCCAGACTCGCAACGATTACTTTGTGTGCTTCTCCGCCTGAGGTGCACCGTGCAAGTGGCCATGAGTTCCTACTTGTATGGCCAGTAAATATAGCGACCACCGCGATACCCAGACTTTGTAACGCCATTGCATCGGCCAACCTCCCGGTCTAGCCGATGGCCCTTGCTACCATTTTACCTCATTGCTCATGCTAACGACCAATCGGTCTTGGAGCCGATCATGGATTAAGGCCTGTCAAGATCTCGCAGAGCCGCCTCCAGGCCTGGCGCTTCGAATGGGGAGGGGCCTTGGCTCCTTGGCTTCTGGTGAGGTAATTGCCTCCCGGAATCCAACCCAGCCGAAGAAGCGCTGTAGCCTGTATTTCAACGACGGCATGGTTTGTCCCAGCTGCAGAACCCTGCGTTGCTCTCCGTCCAAAGATTGATCGACGCATCCTAGTCCTCCCCAAAGTGCCAAGGGGCCATGTCGTCTTGGTATCAGACGCTGGGCTTGAATCACTCGCGACTCTTGAAGTTGATCCCTACAGGTAAGCGAGCGTGCCTTGATGCCGAGGCGAGGGCCACGACATCTAGAACAGGGTGCTCATCCGAGTAGTATATAGAGTCCTGTCGTGGTTCGTGATGGTTTGATTTGTTTCCTTCTCTCTCCCTCATCCAACAATAGTGTCTCTCATTCTTCACTACATTCTTTTCTCAGTTCTGTGAACGCTTTTTTATTGCATTCTATACGCTCTTTTTCAAGTGCTCCATTTTAAACAACAATCTTTCCATCCTTAGGCCGGGCCTCTGCTTTGGAAGTTATTGATATTATTTATACCACTACCGATTCTTCAACTACGAATCAGTCAAAATGAAGTTTGAGACAAGCACAGTTCTTGTGGCGTTTTTGGGTGTTGCCGCCGCCCGCCCCGATGCCTTCCGTTCATCGAACTCAGGAAAGGTCCGCCGCGAGGTGCCTCGTAAGTATACTTCTATTCAGTATGATTGGGATGCGGACTGACTAATGGGTTCTTGTAGAGGAGCACTCGCACGAGGCCATCCTCCAAGCCGCCAACACTGCTCTGAAGTTGGACAACCCCGAGAACATCCAGGATGCTGTCTTCTCGTTGCTTGGAAATGCTGCTGCTGCCAACGGTGCCGGTGACGTTACCAACCTGGACTGTCTCCAGCAGCACGTTGCCGACCAGGCCTTCACCAACGCCAAGGCGGCCGGTGATGTTGACGGCCAGGCCAACGCCCTGCTCTTCCGTGCTCTCGAGCGCAACACAGGCAAGGTCGGTCTGGCCTCGGTCATCTGCAATGAGACGGCCACCAACCCCGAGGTCGATGCTATCACTCAGCACCAAGATCCCGCTTCGGATAACGCCGCCGCTGTTAACAAGCAGATCGTTCTGGACCTTGCTGTGCAGCTGGCTGCCATTGGCGCCGATCCCCAGCTTGCTCTGTCGACTGGTACCTTTGCCCCTGGCGACGTGACCGACGCAACTGGCGCAGGTAACTCCTGTGATGACATTGTCGACGAGGGATGCATTGTTGCGCAGAACCTGTTGGTCGAGGACGCAACTGCTGATGAAATCGATGCCGCTGTCAGCGCCGGCGGCGCGTCCGTCTCGAACGGTACTGCTACCGCTACCGGCTCTGCCTCCACTGCCACTGAAACCGCTGCTGCTGATGATGGTAAGCTTTTGAACAAAAGATCTCAAAGTCAAGCCTGATCACAACTAACATTTTTCCTAGAATGCGACAGTGAGGACTCTGCTACGGCCACTGCTACTGCCTCTGCCTCTGCCGGAGCCACTGCAACCGGCACTGCCACCAGCTCGGGCGGTGTCGATGTCAACGCCTTCACGGGCTCGACGGGCGCCGCTCCCGTCCCCGTCGTCTCCTCTGCCGCCTCGGACCGCCCCTTCTCGGTCAACGGCGACACCTTTATCAACATTGGCGCCGCGGTCCAGCGCGCCTGCGACGTCCAAAAGAACCAGTGCGCCAACGCCGCCAACAGCGGTGGTGGTGGCTCCGTTTCCGACTGCGATGCTCAACAGCAGCAGTGCATTGCCGCCAACAACAAGAAGAAGCGAGCCTTCCCCCGCTACTAGATGTAATATACATTGTTATTGCATGCGGGCCCCGTTTTTATCGTCTTTTTATTGTCGGGGAGGATTCTACAATCCAGGAAGAAGAGCGGGAGTTGGAATCTAAATCTTCGCCTTCTGGGGCTTCTGGAAAGTAGCAGTCTCTGGTGTTATCCTTTTATACTAAATCAATGATATCACGAATCAATGACTTTTATTTTTACTATTTGCGAATCATCAAACTTTCCTGATTTATATGTGCTTGAACTAGATGCAACTCTGTTGAGCTTGATCCATTCAGTGTAGCATCTCGACCCACTATGGATTCGCTATATATATATGCATTATATAGTATACCTACCTTACACTAAGCTAAGCCAAGGCTTAAATTAGCGCTCATGCTGGCTGGCTGTTGGCGACTGGCGTTGCTCACATCTGCTCCCACCCGCGCACCCGTATGTATTTATAGCATTTCAGCTTTTAGATCTTGGTAAGAACGCCGATCGAGATTCCCGATCTTGAATTTCTTTTTCCTACTGAGCGTGTCTCGAATTGAGCTGCAGAATGAAATGGCTACCATGGGCAGCCTCAGCTTGTCCGACGGTTGTTCTAGGTACAGTACACAAATATCTGTACGTAGAAATAGGTGGGTTGTACAAGAGAAAAGTACTGCTAGCAGTAGCGCTAGCTCCTATGGATCCTCCGGGAAGTGGAGACCGTATTCTCCCCTAGTACTTCGAGGCACCACTCACTTGGCACTTCTTCAGCGACCTTTAATTATTACCAATCGTCGTCCTGGCTAGGACCCAGGACTTTCCCACTCTTGTTGTTCTTATCATTGTGCAATTGACATGTCCCACAGCGGAGGCGGCAGTTCAAGTAGGCGAGTATCTGCTGAAGATATCACCGCTGTCCTTAACAAATCTCCGATACTCGGTTTCCGCGACTTCGCCACTTCATTTGGCGGGTGACACGAATTGGGGCCCTCACCGCATGACTGTGGAGCTTGGAGATCATTCTTCAGCTCCCAGAAACCCGGGCCTCAGCTACAGCGACCCTATGCCTAAGGTCCAGGCAAAGGAAACCATGTAACCGGATCCAAAGGCGAAGAAAAATTATAGTCCTTCATCAACTAATTCTTATCGCATCACCATGGTAAGATGCCTCAATTCGAGTTCGTCACCATATCCGACCCGAGTGAGGCCAAGAAGCACTCGACAAAGGTCCGCCGCCATGTCATGAAAGATATAGGCAAGGCCCGGCGCAAGGTCAAGCCCGGGGCCAAGGAGAAGACGACGACCAAGCGCAAGGGCGCGGCCGACACACCCGAGGAAGCGGATCGGGACATTATTCCGATACGCACCGGCAGGAGGCAGATTCAGGTTTCCGTCGGCCCCGAACGCGACATGAGCACCCGCGCTGCACGGCCGCCAGTCATCAGTCCCTGGGCTGAGGGACTGCTTAGTCAGATGATATACCCGATTGAGATGAATGAATCCAAACTCGAGCTCGTCCGCTTCAGTAAGTATATACTTGGAGACATGATACGAGGAAGACCCCTAATCACACCCTAAACCACCATCTTGTCATTAAAAAAAAAAAAAAAAAAAAAAGCACCACACTTGTTAATCATACGGGAACTTTTTCTACAGTGGTCGAGGAAGCACGCTACGTCTATAGGCCTTTCCGCTTCTTGTGGCTAGGCCTGTCCGTCACAAATGAGGCCGCATGGTACATTACGCTCGCAAATTCGGCGGCTTGGCGAGCTGGTGACTGGGGTAGCATGGTCAAAGACATTCAAGGCAACCCTGAAGCCTTGGGCTACTACTCAAAATCATTGAATCGAATCAGCGAACGGCTAAATAACGCCCCCGATGACGTCGACCTGGAAGGCCTTGTAAGTATGACCTTGGATTTATTGAATGCTACTCATATAAGTCTATGGTATCAAAATTTTCCTATCCGTTTGTGTACTAATATCTCAAAATTCAACAGATCGTTGCGATTGCAGGATGTATTTGTCATGACGTGAGTTAACCTATACTCAACGGTCTTTACTTGAAATGTTGACACTAGACACAGGCAACGATGGGAAATTTCGACAGGGTGAATGTGCACCTACAAGGACTCAAGAGGATGATCGACAAGAAAGGAGGAATGTCCAAGCTCAGCATACCTTTATTACCGTTGGCAATCGCATGGTATGTTGCATAGACGCTACTGTCCATGTCTTCCTTGGCAAAGCATCTAATACTACAATAATGCAGGCTCGACTTGAATGCGGCAACCTATCGAAATTCCCTTCCGTATTTCCCTGCTATCAATGCAGCTGCCCTTGTTATTGAGGATGTCGGGGATGAGTGTCAATATCTTGATGCTCTACTAGAGAGATGGGATCACCAGTGCCCAAGTCTCGGCGATATACAAAGTGCTATCATGGCTACCTCCAAAGTTGCTGCGCATATCAACAAGCACAATGAGAAGCCAGGTTTCTGGCGTGATGATCTCAACCTTGCGCGGATGTTGTCCCCAGCCTCTCATGAGATTCTGACCCTGCCAGGACGGCCGCTACCGGATGATGTCCTCGACCCAAATTACTCTGGAGTCGCCGCCCGTGAGGCGTTTCGCTGTGCCGCGCTCATATTCCTTGCCGACGTGAAGCGTCGCTTCAATGCTCCCGTATGGGAACTACCTAGACATCTCGACGCATTTCGCCAAATCTCGCGTCTTCCCATGGTCGACTGGGCTGCCGTGCCCGAATTGAACTTGTGGGCGCATGCCGTGGCTGCTCTAGTGGATGACAAGGCAGATCATGAGGACCGGAGCTGGCATATCAAGGTCATTGTGGGCATCATGGACGTCATTGGCTGTCGGACGGCTGCCGAAGGCCTCGGCATCGCCAGGGGTGTCATATGGATTGATAACCTCATGGGTGAGAGAGCGGCTAGACTCGAAGTTGATATTGATGCGCATTTGCGAGCGCGCGAAGATCCCCCAGAGCGAAATATCCAGGAATCAACAGAAACAGCACCACTCAAAACCACTGGCATCGTTCAGAATAAGGTACTCGCCAAAGATACTACGACAGGACATATAACATTGAAATCTACCCCCAGAAGGATTGAAGTTGATAGAACTTCAATCTTTGAAAGTGCTCTAGAGAGATCAAGGGCTTTACAGCGCGCCGAGTCTTGATGCTGCTTTTGGGGCAATGAAATGGTTTCGTTTGGAAACCAAACAGGTGGTTGCTGGCGGTTTTCAGAATCTGTTCCGGAAAATCCATGGAAACCGGTCGTAGGGCGACAGAAAAACGAGTTTACCCTACACTACTTAATGGAATCATTGAGGGTAGGATACCAACAAAGACTCGGATGGCAATTGTCAGATTGAAATTAATTGACATGGTCGAATGGAGTTCGCGAGGTGATCCCCTTTATCAAGTCTCTTTCTATATCGACATGACCCCACCGTCTTTTGTCACGGACTAGCCCCTGCGTCTGCAAACCTCTAAAAGGCTGCAAGTCTATGGCACATGTCTTCCAAATGTAGACAAGAATAATACTGCTTCGCTGTGCTGGTGTGCTCCAAAAGAATATCAAGCAGAAAAGGAGTACCCTAATGCAACCTCTTCAAATCTTCAACAAGATTTCTCATTGTTTCAACGTCGGGACCCAAACCCTTGCAGATTTCCTCTTGTACTTGATCTTCGAGGTCCGTGAAACGCTCAATGAGCTCACCGTCGATAAAGCGGAAAGGCCCGGCGCCTTCACGCTGCTCGTTACGGAACGAACGGTAAGGGTCAAAGTTGATGTCGCCGACTGATGTGATGGTTCGGACAAGACTGGTCTGGAATCGGATCAATAAATCCTGGTATTGCGGCGAGATGGTGCCGAAAAAGTAGACTCCGCCCTCAACCTGTTTTCGGAAAAAGTTAGTCACAGAGCTGAACGAGAGTTTATTCGAAGAGTTTGGAGGGGGGACATTGCCATTCACTTACCGTAGCCAGGAAGGCCCGAGGAACGACAATTGCAGTGTCGCTCGATGCGACCTTGACCTTTTGAATTCTGTTGACCATCTCCCCAAGGTTCATCTCACTCGTTATGTCCATACGCTTCTTGTCTTCGTCAGTTGCACCTTGAGCGTTCGGACTCAGTATCATCAGGTTGCCATTAGCATCTGCCTCGAGCCACGAATTCCCCTCGACATGACTGACTGCGGTGGCCCAAGCTGCATGATGGTGTCTGGCAATCTCCTTGAGCTCTCCAGCCTCGGGCGCAAACTCAATAAGCGTAACCGACTTCATGAGGTCAGCCACTGCAATGATGTTTCCTTCGATAGCAATATCGACGGGGTAAGTGGAAGGGCGGTACGAAGCCACACGGTCCAACTGGGCAGTTGAGGACGTGGACTCGTTATAGCGGTAGACTACAATTGTCTTGGCCAATCCGGCTACGACATGGTCGCCAATGGTGCCGAGGCATCGGCATGCGCCCTTGAGGTTGCGCGAGGAGATCTGATAGAGGTTGCGCTCACTATCGATTCCGAAGATCAAGATTCGGCCTTTAATATTATCTCGAGAACTGGCACCGACCTGCGCATCTGTCGGAAAACTGGTTCCAACAATAAATCTTTCTGCGCGATTACCATACGAATCAGGAAGCTCAGCTCGGATGACGGCTTCAACCATTTCCAGGCCGGATGAAGTGTTTAGGATAAAGTCCTGACCAACTTTATCAAATATGACCTCGTCGACAAGTCTAATTGAACTCTCGACAATCTCTTCATTATTGATCACCTCTCTGCTGATGCAGCCCAGAGCAAAAACTCGCTCATTGCGTGAATAAGCAATTCTCCTGACCGTCTTGCCGACGGGTAGGCTCTGGACATGTGTTCGGCGTTCGCGGTCGAGAACAGAGATCCTAAGCTCATTTTGGGTTGCCACCACGATTGAATCCGGGAAAGCCTCTGAATCAAATGAGCAGACACAGATGGCGTCCTCAGCTGTCACCGCGGAGTATATAATTCGACCATCACTAGCATAGATCAAGCTGGGATGTTCACTAGTAGCGAAAACGTTGCAAATACCATCTTCGAGAAGTAGCAGCTGCAATCTTGCATGTTGGGTTCCAAGGACGCTACTCCTGCGGGAGGACAGAGAAAAGTCTGTCGGAGAGACATTAAAGGTGATGACCAAACCGTCCTCCATAGCAACGAACAAGGTCGGACCGCCCAATGCAGGCGGTACAATTTGACCCATGGCCAAATCTCGGGGGATCGACGTAGTATCATCATTGCGTCGTGACGACTCGCTATGAAGCGGTTGAAGAGACACCATGTCAACAATCGATACCTTGCCAGACTTCCAGAATCCCACCACACCAAGATGCGGATACTGAGGAGGAAGGTGTATGCAGGCAATCTGGTCCTCATCTGCCGGTTCGTTATGTTGACCGAGGACCAGCTCATGCTGTATACCGAGAGACACAAGATTCTTGCCTTCTATAGAGAGCAATACCCAATTCTCGTTGGCAGAGGCAGCGGTAATCTTGTCGCCGCCTTGGGGTTGCCAAGTTGAAACAACGACGTTGTCCTCAAGGTCAAGTAGGTGGACAGCTGTCGAGGTCACCTGCAAAAGGCGGTTGTTCGCAAGGTTCAATACTACAAGAGTCTGTTCGCCCAGAGACAAGCCCTTGAAAGAATCAACCTCTTCGATCTCACCACTCGGCTCAAAGATAAACACTCTGGTTTCTAAAAGCGAGGACACTAATAGGGTGTCAACCTTGGCGGAAGGTTGTGATCGGAGGGGAAAGACTGCTTGAATAGCTTCCATCTGAGCTAAAATGCCGATATCCTCCAAGCCGACCCCACTGCGAACACTGCGTAGACTGCCATCCTTGTAGACGCCACTGCCCGTGACGATTCTAGCTTGCCCAGAGGAATACTCGTTCGTGTTCTGGTCTTCACCATCTCTATTACCCATGTCCATGACGGTAAAGTCCAACACAGGGCTTATATTGGGTAACACTTGGATTTGATGGAGTGTCCAGCTCTGTGTGTCGACCTTGAAGACCTGCGAATCACCATAATGCGACCCCACAAACAGAATATCGCTTCCCATGTAGATAAGAACATTGGCTCGGGATGTAGTTCCAATCTTTTTCATCTTCAATTCGACGACGGCGCCTCCGTCAAGCACAATCTCGAGCAGCCACATGGTGCCATAGTCGTCAGCAACAAAATAGTGAGAGACGTCATACTCGGCCCATGCAACGAAGATGGAGGCTTCGGAAAGAGCGGCTTCGACAGTCTTCTTTGCTGCGTCGTCATAGTATAGGAGTCTTGTTTCGCCAACGACAATGAAACCGCCGAGTTGAGCCCGTGCTTGGGCAGCATTACGAATGATGTACCGCTTATGATCTTGTTCTCCGCGGCCTACAGGAATGAGCATTGCAGCACCAGGATCCTGCATGGCAAACTTGTCCACTTGGTCTCTCGCCTCAAAGCGTGAGGCCTGGGTATTCTTCTCATCAGAGTATAGGTTGTAAGTGACCAGTTGAGCATCAGGAATATCTGTGCGGGTCTGGTAGAGAAAGGCTACCTTGGGCTTTCCGGTCTCGACATGTAGGAAGGTGGCCGACTTGATGAAGAGCTCGGTGATGCGACATTGATCCTGCCACTGGACCTCAGTCCTCGAATTCTTCCTGTTGCCCAAACGGAGAATGTTGAGTACACCCTCCCAGACGAGAACCACCATGTATTGGCCTGTTGGATCCGTGATACACTTGTCTTGACTCTGTGAGTCGCGCATGTGCCGCTCGTGCATGTCGTGGAAAGAACTAATGGTGTCGAGTGACTCGGTGTCTGGGTTCCAGCCCAAGGTGAAGTACTGAAACCGATCTGTGCCGACAAACAAAAGGTCCAGGTCGGCATCCTTTGGGCTGATCTTTTGCAGGATAGAGATTGCGCCAAAGACAACCTTTGTGTCGAATTGAACCAACATGTTGCGTTCGTCATTGAGCTTCCAAAACTCTAGGCGGTTTGCCTTTGCCATGACCAGGCAATCGCCCTCACCTGGAAAGAGCTGAGCACGAACAGCATGGCGAACGCTGTTCGGCCGATGGATGGGCGCTAGGTAGGCCATGATGGGGAGCTTTGCATTTCGACCGCGCCGATGAATCTGCTTTGCTGCTCAGTGTATCGATTGGAGAGAGCGGGATCAAGCTCAGACGCCCGCCGTGGTTTGTGGATTTGAAGAGAGCGACAAGACTTCGAGGGTTTGAGAGCGCCCCTCCAAAAAGATGAAGCTCTTGGGATAAGCAGATGTTGGTTACCTAGTAGTGGTTCCAGCTATCTACTAGATTGGGTCGGCGCTCTATGATGCAAACGCCGGAGATAAAAGTTGACCCCGCCAGCGCTAAAGCCGCGGTTTGGCGGAACGCGTCGCGGGCAGCTTAGCGTTTGAGAACTCCACTAATGCCACTGGCTGGAGATCTGGCAGCGTATGTCAATGTATCTACGCTCCATGGTAGCCCTGGTTATAGGTTCTCAGGCACTGCAATATCCGTGAACTGTTAGAGACACAGCATGGACATACGCAACCTCGACCCTTATGTAGTCTTTTTTTTTTTTTTTTTCGCTTTGAAATACTGAAATTGTTTCTCACATCACGTCAACTCACCTCACAAACGCGAAGTGTCATTCCAGATAGAGGAAATACATAGGCATCGCTTAGATTTCACACAGCTACTAGGTAGTAATCTCAGCGTGCCTACATTATCTTCCAATAATTCAGTCAATCACTTTGCCTGAAGTACGCAAGTGCCGGGTTTTGTCGCGTTGACACCGATAGGATCCTAACCCTTGTAAAGGGCGCGCCTCTTTCTCTCCTCCATCGACTTTGTTCGGTTCTATTATTTACCCAACTCTGGATGATAACGACATACCTGAGAGATTGTCTGGGGAAAAAAAAAAGCCTGACTACCGAGTTATGCGATTCTTGCAGACTGGTTGTAGAAATTGCCCTTCTGCCAATTTCATGCTAATGCTTCGTCGGCGCAATGGCCAAGACGCTGGGTCAGATGGTGTCAATACCACCAGCTCAAGCACAATTCTCTGAAGCGGATGAGTTAACAGAAGAGGACGAATGTTGGACCGAGCTGCAACTTGCAGCCAAAGATGGCAATCTTACCAAGGCCAAGAATCTCATCGACGAGGGCGCGGACATTAATGCACCGGCATCTGGCTACTACGGCAATACTGCGTTGCAAGCAGCCTGCCTCTTTGGGCACGAAGATGTCGCAAAGCTGCTCATCGAGCGAGGCGCTAATGTCAACGCCCCTGGAGGAAACAATGGTAAATAACTTGTCATGGAACTTATGGCCGTTCCTTGTTGGTTTCCACAAAGCATTCTTCTAATCTGACGGTGGCCCTTAGGAGAGAGGACTGCCCTCCAACAGGCATGTGCCGCAGGCAAAGCGTCTCTAGTCAAGCTGCTCATCGAGAAAGGTGCTCATGTTAATGCACCAGCCGGCAGATACGCCGGACGTACCGCGTTGCAGGTATTATGCATTCTCATTCAAGCTTCCTAACTCCATTTCCTTTCGAGAGGACTTGTGATATTGTTTTGCTCCAACTAATATCAAGTCTCCCAGGCAGCTGCAGGCGAAAATCACATCGAAATCGTTCAGTTATTGTTAGATGCAGGGGCAGATGTGAACAGCAAACCGGCCAAGACCACGGGAGAAACGGCACTGGCTGCTGCAGCGGCGACAGGTAATGTTCAACTCGTCCAGCTCTTACTGGATCACGGAGCAGATGCCAATGTGCCTGCCATCCGACATAAAGTAAGTAATGGTGTGGTCTCGTGTGCTTGGCTCCACCTATGTTATTGTGAGAAGCGCAAGCCGAGAAGATGTTTGTTGCGTGCTACTTTGGCTTGAATGGCAATCAGTCATCCAAGGGGCCGAGGTTCAAAGGGCCCAGGTTGTCGTTCTTACTCAAGCCAACTTGTAAACAATATGACTGCAGCCACTAACAACCCGCCCAGGGTAGAACAGCATTACAGGCAGCAGCAGTACGGGGAGACTTGGCCATCGTAAACCTGTTGATCCTTGCAGGAGCCGATGTGAACATGCCTGGGTAAGTGTGAGAAGCGGCACTGCTTTGGTCTTCTCTGAGACTGCCACCGCGTACTGTCCCATCGGAGCCGATCATTTGTATGACCAGATAATTAATAACCTTGCAGTGCTTCTTTCAAGGGAGGAACAGCACTACATGCAGCTGCTGAAGGTGGCCATATCAAAGTAGCGGAAAGGCTTCTATCTGCAGGGGCAAACATCGATGCGGGCTCTGGATGGAGGAGCCAGACCGCTCTACAGGTCAGTGATATTCACTTCTTTTTTCTCTCTCCGTGGCCATCTTTGGCCAAAATGACGGTAATGTCTCTGTCTATCATGCTCCCATTATGACGCGTATCGATTGCGCAAAGTGGCCATTGCAAGAATCAAAGAAGGTAACAACAGTTGCTGAGTATTATTTTGTGAGATAGAGCGCCGGTATTTGCGGTCAGGACGATATGGTCAAATTTCTTGTAGAAGCAGGAGCTTCGGGGCACGCAACGGGAGGTGTAATTCTGTTTGATGGATAGTATATCTGCTACATTTGCCAATACATGTTGCTCTTGGAACAAAGAAATCTCCACAGAGCTTTGATACAAATCAGCCTTTCATTATGTTATAGCGATCTGCTTACATAGGTAGGGTATTTGCCATTGGATCTGATCGGATATCACGCTATTCTCAATATCACAATACTCGAGCCAAGGAGGGATGCTTCTCGTTCCCATCACTTTCCTGCATCTAACCACTAGTTGGCATCCATTCACGGTCAACTATTCTCCCGAAGATTTCTTCTGCTATTCCTAGCAATATTGCTCCACGCCCACCAATTTCATTGGCAACCTGTTTTCGACAGTCTTTAAGTTTTTATTTCCCTTATACCGGGCTGCCCCTGAAACCATCCTGAATTAGATGGTCTCCTACTAAAATCCATTTCGTTTGGGCGAGGAATGCTGTCGAGTTACATTTTAGAAGCAATAGTAAACTGCTACATTGTGTAAAATAACAAACACCAAGGCCCGTCATTTATAACTACGAAACGACATATGCTGTACTTATGTAACTATGCCTTACAATCTTGCTTTCAGGCAGCTGGGTGGCCTAAGCTGAACCATCCGCCTGTGAGAAGTCGTTGAGAATACCATCCAACTGCTTGTGTCTCGTCACGGCACGCTCAAAATCGGGGTATTTGGAACGGTCGCCGCTCGCAAAGGCGTCATACAGCGCGCCGATATTTTGGGCGAGCGTGGGGAGGCCGGCGTACTCGTCCCTGTAGGCCCAGTCGACCTTGTGCACCTCGTCCGACGCAAAGTCGTAGACTTCAATAATGGCGCCGTCGCCACCGGCGTTGAAGGCGGGGCCGTCATAGGTCCGGACCCGGATCTCGCCCTTTTCCCCGTGGATGATCCAGTCGAGGCCCGGCTCGCCCTTGAACGGCTGTCCGCGACGAATGGTGATGCTTATGGAGGCGCCCTGGACCACGGTTGCCGATGCTGGCAGTGTCCCTTGGATAAAGGCCAGGTCGGGTACATCGGACTCGACGACTTTGGTTGTCTGGCCCGAGGCCGGGTCGACGATCTTGACCTGTGGTCGCTGGATTTGCAGACGCGATTGGACGTTCTCAAAGTCGCCAAGGACGTGCTGGATGTACTCCGTCACTAGATGATTCTGTCAGACGGGGACCTTTTCTGTGTGAAAGAGAAGTGGCATCTGCATCTAAACTTACCGTGCCCGACGATAATGGTAATGAAGTTCCCACCAATTTTCTTGTCGGTGAAATAACTGCCAGCAGGGGTCATTGCCTCCCTGTCCTTGGTTCCTCCCGTTCCACGAACCTGACTGCTGAGGACCTTGCCAATTCGCCCACTGCTGAGCAGCTCTTGGAGTGTGAGAACAATAGGTGAGTACCAGCCCTGAGGGTTCACCAAAAGATAAGCCATGTGCACACAAGAATTGTACTCGGAATCAACATAAAAACTTCAAAGAAATCGTACCTGCAGCCCAATAACGGTCTTGGCCCCCGTTTCTCTCGCCAGCTCGGCCAACTCTCGAGCCTTGTCCACATTATGCGCCAGTGGCCATTCGACGTAGACATTCTTGCCCGCCTTGATGCTGGGCAACCCAGTCTCGTAGTGCTTGTCCACGCGTGTGCTCACAATTACCAGTTCCACATCCGGGTCCGCGGCCACGTCTTCGGGCGAGCCGTACGCCCGCGTGTCCGGGGGAAACCCGTATGCCTCAATGGCTTGCTTGGCAGACTTTACCGAGGAGTTGCATAGCGCAATGATATTGTACTTGGATTTACCAGCCGGTGAGATGAGATACGGTAGGTGTGCGTTCTTGGCCCATCCACCGCTGGCAGAGAGACCTATGATGGCTGTTCGTATAGGAGCCATTTTCTGCTATATAAGTGGCGACTTGGTTCTTGTAGTTTGTAAACAAAATGGTTTCAAACCCAAAATAATGAAGAGAAACGGCAAGTCATATATATATATAGTCACAAATATGCCTACTTGCACATGAGATAGATTTGTAAGAAAGTCGGCTGTTTGGGTGCGTGACGAGATTACAAATACACAACACAGCATGTTAATGCGCTGCCCATAACATCATTTCAATTGATACACCTTCCCCGCAGCCATGCATATACGCTGTAAAGCTAGTACAGGATTACTGCTTTGGGAAAATCGTCTCTGAATTGCGTATGCTAAATTAACTCTGATTTGTGAGATTTTGGGAGGCAGTCTGTGATCCAACCTGTTGTTCTCCACACACATCACGGCTCGTCTTGCAAATTACCCACATCACCCCGTTGAGTGTCAAAGACGACATGTTCACAAGAAGAGTAACTGAAAAGGTAATTTGTGAGTACCTATTTACATGGGCTGTGAAGCCAAAGATCTATTACCATTACTTCATGATTGGGCCATGACTTTCCGGGCAAATCCCCATATCTAAAATGCATTTTTCTTTTCCTGCAATGTGCCACATCTTCCGCAGAAGTCCGTTGCCGGTTGAGGCCATGTGATTCAGCATGTCTCTCCCCACAGCTCTTCCTCCCTCCCTCCATCTCAGTCATTCGCCCTCCTGCTCTCAATTCTGCTGTACGCGTTCTAGAAATTCAGTGAGCCTGTCATCAACAGAAACGCCATTCCACGTCTCAACACCGTCGCCGCCCTTCTCTAGTGTCGGTGGCCCGACTTGCTCTATTGCAAAACTCGCTGCAATGCTCGCCCACGTTGCCGCCTCCTCTAGAGGTTTCCCTCGAGCAAGAGCCGCCGCTAGGCCCCCCAAAAATGTGTTTCCGCCGCCTGTGGGATCAACCACCTTCTCCTTATCGGTGTGATATGCTGGAATCCATTTCTCGATTCCTGGATCAACCTCAATCTCCTCCTCCGCTACTGCACCCTCGGGGTCTTGCAGTAGCCCAGCGAATAGAGCCATCATGTCGGTATCTGGTTGGAGACTACCATGAATTGCAGCCGAGGCCTTCTTCCTCTTCCCAGTGGATCGTACTTTGCGTTTCCTTCCGCCGTTGCGGGCGATGTAACAGCCCTTCTCACCAGCGCGCACGACGAGGGAAAAGGACTGAAGTGGCATCGAGCCAAGGAGCTGCTCGCAGGATCGCTCTATAGCAGACGTGCTGATCTCGCCCGTTTCAGGGTCGAGTCCACTGTCTCCCATGAAGCCTGCCAGCTCGGAATGATTCGGGCTGCACACATCGATGAGCGGCAAGGTGTTTGTACAATTTAGCAATTCATCCGTGGTGCATAGATCAGGCACTGGCTCCCAAATGAAGATTGGCTTTGGTAGACTTTTACCGTCTGTTGTCACGAGTTCGCTGCGTTTTTCTTTGATGTCCAAAACCAATTCTCTGCATCTCGTTGGCGAGCAAATGAGGTGAAATGAGCGTGAGGCCAGTAAAGTTGGAGTAAGGTCTTCGGCTGTCAGGCGCTTCTTTGGAGTCATGTAGCGAAAGGCCCGGTGCTCATGCTCGTCATAGCCATTCCATCCACGTGTGGTCAGACGCTCGGGATCTGAGCGATAGAGAACCGAAGTCTCCCATGTGTCGATGAGCGTAGTCAAGGCTTCTGGAAAGTCGGAGCCTTGGTCAATAATCCATCCAACGGAAGATGCCTTGGGTCCTGGTGAAAAGAGTCGAGCTCCAAGGGCAGAGTAAGTGCCAGCACCACCGAGGATATCCTTCACTGGCGGCGTAGGTGGCAGATATTCAATGTCGTCTGAATCACGTGAGCGATGGGGTAGAGAGAAAGGGAGCAAGGGGCTATCTTACCAATGATGAACATGCCCAATGTGACAAAGTCGATGCCTTCTTCCACTGTTTCCTCTGGGGTAGGAGTCTTCTCTTCAGCCTCAGCCTCGACCACAACCTCAGCCTCGACCGCAACCTCGGCCTCGACTGTGACCTCGGCCTCGGCCTTGACCTCATCTTCGACCGTCATGATTGTTGCCTAGGTGAACTGTGCTGCTCTAATGAAACGAAGGCGGCGTGTTCTGGCAATAGCGTGATGTCGTACTCCGGTAATCACCTGTCGATGAATGCCGCTGGCCTAGCACCACTCAAAGGATCTGAAGCAAACGTCGCTGATATGTGAGAAAATGAATAATGAAAAGGATGAGACGAATTCCGAAGTCTCAAAACCTCACATGCTCAGGGCCAATATTAGGGCAGCTGGGCAGCAATGTACAACAAAGGCAGGGCAGTAGGAAAGCAACCTTTCCACTAGAGTCTAGTGATTACTGCGTGAAACCAAGCAGACAGCCTATGCAGGTACGTAACACAACATGTAGAATGTTGAAAGGCTGCGGTCGCTCAGCTAGGTACCCAGACAGCAGAGGGAGAACCTGTGAGGTGCTTCTAGTTGCAACCTGATAACTCAGACGACAAGTAGTGACTCAATGAATAAACTTGCAACACACAGGGAGCAGGCGGCGGTCTGAATGAATGGATGGTGGGGTTGTCGTTCGACCAGATCTTCTGGAACCTGCAGATCTCGAGTTTCCGTTGACCTTCCGGATGCTGCTTTAGGTAGCTGCGTGTGTATGCTGTTGCTGCTGCTTAGGTGCAGGTGTTGGACACCTGAAAGCTGCAGCCAATCCCTGCCTTTCCTATGTCTATGATGCAGGTTGAGAAGGAATGACTACAAGATCCAGTGTGTCGTGAGTTTCTACAGCAATTACTGCAATCGTAATTAAGGGAGCAAACTTCAACTGGCCAACAATGATGATCGGTAGACGGCATTAATTTCGCCGGCGCACTGGCACACTGGCACTTGGGACTTTCAAGCGGGCATTAATGAACGACCTCCCTCCACTTTATGGACATGCCAGTCAAGACACTCAGACACTCCAAATAGGTACCATACCTTTAGTTGGCGACAAGGATTCCAGGTGGATCAGCCACTACCTTAATGTTGTATTGGGCCTTTTAGGCCCCCCAAATTCTGGCCGCGCATCAGATATTTGGGGCTCTACACAGTAGGCCCCTCTACACAGGAGCAGTGTATCTATCAAACGGGTGCCTCCCTAATGCAGGGGTTTGAAGTCATGAAGAGAGACCACTCGCCATGAATAGGTAGGTACTTGAGCTTTTGCGCAACAGCTTGGATCTTTTTGATCTTCTTGCCTCTGGATAAATTGTTGCGCATTCTGCTTGTGTGCTCTTCTTCCTCCAGGCAGACAAATAGTTCCATTCCTAGAAAAACCTGACCCAGAGTCATTTCATTCTTTGACTCCATTGACCGACCCTCTTCTTTTCTTTCAAGTTTCTGTCCTAAAAAGTACCTGAACTACCTACTGTACATCAGTTGGGCTAGAATTGATCGCCAGCCTCCACTAAGCGTCTACGGTAGCTCTCTCTCTGGGGCCCAACTCCTGAATAGCTCTCCTTCCTCCAGACAGACACGTCAACGTCCGTCAGCCTTCTACGTCAAAGAAACTGTCCCTTTAACGAGCTGCGCCTGCCAGCTATCCCATCTGCAACATGGCAGCGACAAATATGCACAACCTCACAACATTGATCAAGCGGTACGTTCGAGAGCTTGGTACGAGCGAGCGGCCGGCGACAAAGGCCCCCTAACGCCGCCCACTCGTGTCCCGTCCATCATCTTGCTTGTTCCTGGGGCTTCCATACTAAGTTGAATTGCGACATAGGCTGGAGGCTGCAACATCGCGCCTTGAGGACATTGCCTCATCGACTACCGAACTCCCCCAGGGCGTTCCCGCCCTACAACAAGGAGCTGCTTCCCCCTCCACCGGCGTCAGCCCAGGCACGGGTCCGACTGAAACTTCGACGCCGACGCCAGCCGCCGCTCCGCCAGCTGCTCCCCAGGAGCAGGTCCCAGAGGTCATTGAGGATTTTGACGCTTTCATTGACTCCTCTGTCGGCAAATATGTGCAAGCGAGTAATAAGTTGGGTGGCATCATCGCCGAACAGGCTGCCTTGGTGCTGGAGGGCTTCAAGCGGGAACGCCGCTTCCTTCTCATTTCCACAAAGGCAAAGAAGCCGAATCTATCTGGCTCTGAGATGAGTGTCTATCAAGAGCTTTTGAAGCCCATCAATGAAGCTCTCATGGAGGTCACCAGCATCAAAGAGGCAAACCGCGGAAGTCCCGCCTATACACAGTTGAGTGCCGTTGCTGAAGGTATCATGGTTCTTGCTTGGGTCACAGTCGATATGCGACCATACAAGCATGTCGAAGAGTCTTTGGGATCGGCGCAGTTCTTTGGAAACCGTGTCTTGAAGGAATACAAAGACAAGGACGCCGATCAGGTTGCTTGGATCCAGTCCTTCTACGCCGTATTCCGGGATTTGACCGAGTTCGTCAAGAACAACTTCCCGAATGGTGTCCCCTTCAACCCGCAGGGACAACCCGCTGCCGAAGTCGCGAAGAGTATCCCAGTCTCAGGGTCCGCTCCTACATCCTCAGGAGCTCCGCCGCCACCTCCTCCTGCTGGAGGTCTGCCTCCACCGCCTCCGCCTCCGGGTCCTCCCCCAGTCCTACAGATTAAGGAAGAGGGAGCCCCGTCTTCAGCTCCCAGTGGCCTTGGAGCCGTGTTTAGCGAGCTCAACAAGGGTTCTGACGTTACAAAAGGCTTGCGTAAGGTAGACAAGTCAGAGATGACGCACAAGAATCCATCCCTGCGGGCGTCATCGCAAGTCACTGGTGACTCGCGCGCCAAGAGCCCTGCGCCAGTCAGGAAGCCCAAGCCGGAAAGTATGCGGGTTAAGAAGCCTCCGCGACAGGAGCTGGATGGCAACAAGTGGTTAATTGTGAGTTGCGCACCTATCTGACAGGCCGTCCTTGGAACAAGACAGTGAGCTAAACGTCCCTAACAGGAAAACTTTGACCGACACGCCGAACCCATTGAGATCGAGGCCACCATGTCACAGTCAATTCTGATTTCAAAGTGTGCTCATACCACCATTATCGTAAAGGGCAAGGCCAATGCCGTCACGATCGAGAACACCCAGCGCCTCTCCTTGGTTGTGGACTCGCTGGTGTCTACCGTGGATGTCGTCAAATCCTCCAACTTTGCGCTCCAGGTCATGGGCTCGCTGCCAACTATCCTGCTGGACCAGCTTGACGGTGCTCAGGTCTACCTCAGCAAGGAGAGCACGGCCACCCGCATTTTCAGCTCAAAGAGCGCCGGTATCAACATGAACGTGATTGGTGACGATGACGATTATAAGGAGGTGCCTTTGCCGAGCCAAATTTGCAGTTACTACGACGATGCCAAGGGCGAGTTGGTCAATGAAATCGTGGATTTAGCTGGATAAGCAGCCAAGAGAAGATTCCCGCAAAAATAATATTGAAGCGTTTGCCGTTTTTGACAATTATTCAAGTGTAGCAAAAGGGCGTTGACGCGGTACGATAGATGGCTGAAGCTCTGATGGTGTTTTAGACAGCGTACATATATTGGCATACGTATGTCCTTACTAGAACTTGCATAACAAGAGAAGAGGGAAAAAATCGAAAAAAAATCGACATCATGCACTTATGATCTATTTTTTGAACTATGGACAGGATACTCCCAACACCTGCCCCATGCTCCAATGGGGGAAAAGGAATCCATCTAGACTGGGAAATCTACCGTGGCTGGGGGGGGGGGGGGG